TCGGTTGAGAAAACTAAGGTCGTCACATGACTCACTGTCACAGGGGGAGGAGAGAGTCTAATCAAGTTTCACTGAACCTCAAGTTCTGTTAGTAAGTTATATGAGGAACAAAGTGGTGTTACAAGAAGTGACGGACTGTTCAGGACATCTAGCAGCAGTTACACAGTGAACCTTTCTAGACAGTCTGCAGTCACTTATTTCTGCCCATTAACCCATACCATTCTTACAAAGGAATGCATTTTATTAAACTTTGTTGTATATTGGGTAAAAGTTTAAATAAAGGGCTGATTTGTTTTAGCATTTGTAAAGTGTCCTTGATTTTTATTTTTTAATTCATATATATGTATTGGTGTGAACTTGGATGAAACTAATGCAGTATAATGGAACAGGCCTGCAGTAAATCCTCCTTCATGAGGATTATATTATTATTGTTCAGTATTTTACTGAATCTGTTTTGAGAAGTGTTGGTTTATTTTAATGGTCATTGAGGAGGCTGTAATTGTGGTAATGTTTAAGTGTACTGGGATATACTGAGGAGTGTTCCTAATATATTGGCAAATCTAATTCCTATAAATGGGATGAACAAAATATTAGGAACACTCTCCGTATAGGGTTAGTTAATATTCAGTGGTGTCCAAAAGCCTGAGACCACTTTCCCATGTAGCCTCACATGTTGCTCCACAGCAGCTCTAGTATCGCTCAGTTTCATTTACAAAGGAGAATAAAAGGAGCCATTAAAAACACTGAATCGAGTTCAGCAGGTAATCTCCTTAAGTCTCAAGTCACCGTGTCTCACCTGTTTCTCCATGGTTTCGAACCTAAATTTGTCCCCACATCCATAGCAAGACATGTCTACACACACGTGCATGCCTGCACAGAAGTTGATCTGCAATAAAGCTACTGTTATTTCTCCTGCTGAAAACAGAACTACATGGAAATCAGTAAAAAAATGCACTGAGTTAATCAGTCAGTTGTGTGAAAGTTTGTGCAGCAACTGCACTTGTGTGTCTGTAAATGTGACCTCCAAAAAGCTTGTTACCCGGCTGGAATACTCCCATGTTCAGCAGCTGCTCTCGGACTGTGTCTGTCTGCTGTTTGCTGCTGAGGTCGTGGACAGTGGCTACGGCCGAAAAAGTGTATGATGACAAAGACGGTAACTGAATCATTGTTGTTTTACTGCACAGTTCTTTTCTTTTAATTATATTCTTAAATTGCATTCACCATGGCCTTAAAAAGGTCTTAAACTTTTCAACACCAAGATAGAAAGTTAAATGAGCGCAGTGCAAAGACTGGACATCGACTGTTTCCCCGGTGTAAAAATGTTGTAAATAGTTTCCATTGGGCACCATGCTGTTACTGTATGTAAGAATTAATTTGTAATGTGTGCTTTCTTTTATTCTTGCAGCTCACATCATGTGCTGTGGTGCAGTGGATGGATGGGCATCGGTTGAGAAAACTAAGGTCGTCACATGACTCACTGTCACAGGGGGAGGAGAGATCATCAGCAGTTTCACCTGAACCTCAAGTTCTGTTAGTAAGTTATATGAGGAACAAAGTGGTGTTACAAGAAGTGACGGACTGTTCAGGACATCTAGCAGCAGTTACACAGTGAACCTTTCTAAGGCAATCTGCAGTCACTTATTTCTGCCCCATTAACCCCATTACCATTCTACAAAGGAATGCATTTTATTAAACTTTGTTGTATATTGGGTAAAGTTTAAATAAAGGGCTGATTTGTTTTAGCATTTGTAAGTGTCCTTGATTTTTATTTTTAATTCATATATATGTATTGGGTGAACTTGGATGAAACTAATGCAGTATAATGGAACAGGCCTGCAGTAAATCCTCCTTCATGAGGATTATATTATTATTGTTCAGTATTTACTGAATCTGTTTGAGAAGTGTTGTTTTATTTTAATGGTCATTGAGGAGGCTGTAATTGTGGTAATGTTTAAGTGTACTGGGATATACTGAGGAGTGTTCCTAATATATTGGCAAATCTAATTCCTATAAATGGGATGAACAAAATATTAGGAACACCTCTCCGTATAGGGTTAGTTAATATTCAGTGGTGTCCAAAAGCCTGAGACCACATTCCCATGTAGCCTCACATGTTGCTCCACAGCAGCTCTAGTATCGCTCAGTTTCATTTACAAAGGAGAATAAAAGGAGCCATTAAAAACACTGAATCAAGTTCAGCAGGTAATCTCCTTAAGTCTCAAGTCACCGTGTCTCACCTGTTTCTCCATGGTTTCGAACCTAAATTTGTCCCCACATCCACAGCAAGACATGTCTACACACACGTGCATGCCTGAACAGAAGTTGATCTGCAATAAAGCTACTGTTATTTCTCCTGCTAAAACAGAACTACATGGAAATCAGTAAAAAAATGCACTGAGTTAATCAGTCAGTTGTGTGAAAGTTTGTGCAGCAACTGCACTTGTGTGTCTGTAAATGTACCTCTAAAAAGCTTGTTACCCGGCTGAGACACTTATACAGTTGACATCTATAAGGTGGAGATGGTGTTTGTGTGTCTGTCAATGTGTGTGCGTGGTGTTAGGAACCTTCAAAAAGCCCTTTGAAGTTGTCAGGACTGACCAAAATGACCTCACAATAATGGTTTTTAAACCAAATTCATCCTCACAATCATAGATATGTACACACACATACGCACACACAATGAATGGATACGCAGCAGGCACATTCAAAATTTCTTCAGGAATTTTCTAGTTCTAGTATACCAACATCTGCCAGAAAATAGAGACTGTAAAAATGTAGGTTTTCAAATTTGGGCTGTCTTGTTAAATATTTTATAATTGTCTATATTTTTGTATAATATTAAAAGAATATAGATAAAATAAAAGAATTTGAATGTTTTAAAAGCAAGACCAATAACCCAGCTGATGTATGGGCTAATATTGGCTTAATGCAGATATACTGTATCAGCCAATAAGTAACAGCTAATTGCAGTATTTGATGCAATTTAAAGACATTATCAGTATTATATAGATTGCCACAGAGAGCAGTGACAAAGTTAATTTTTAAATTCTTAGGTGTTCCACTCACTACATACTGTCATTACCACAATTCTTAATCAACTAATTTTGGTGTTTCATATTAGCAACCTAAAAGGATATCAGTTAAAAAAAAAAAAAAGTACAATAAAATTAGAAAAATGTATAAAATTTAAAACAACATAAAGTTGGAAGATACTTTATACTATTTAAAATGTATAGTAAAGTTTAATTTTCATATTAACGTTGTGTTCACTGCTGCCTACATTAAATTATATTGAATTTTACATCAGCAAATGTAACTACCGCCTAAGGTGAAAGCGGATTGGTCGATTCGTTTTCGGCTGTTTTCTGATTGGTCAACGCAGCAGCTCGAAGGCACCTGCTGCACCTGTCGCGCGACCTGAAGAAAGTTGGGCAGCCGTTGAGAAGTTCAGCAGAGTGGGCTGGTCCATTGTTCCATCCTGGAGAGGGCGGAGGGGAGGAGGAGGGGGGAACCGAGTCCGGAACAGAGGAAGGAAACTAAAAGCTGTCAGACAAGTTTCTACCTTTCTGGGGAGGAATGGAGCGCTCCAGGAACTCTCGAGTCGCGCAAAGAAAACTTTACAACCTCCGTTGTGTTGTGTAAAAAAAAAAAAACCAAACAAACATAGAAAAACTACCAGAGAAGAAGAGCGTTAATTTTAGCTAGTTTACCGCCAATGAAGAAATGGCGTCGGAGACTAAATTAAACGGGAATGAACTTTTGGAAATTGACATATGCGACGGCCGCGTCTGCACCGAGGACGACAGCGGCGTTTTTGTCAACTCTGCCGCCTCCCTCCAGGATGATTTCTCCGGCTTTCGCCAGTGGACGAGCCCTGCCGAGTCACCAAATGACACATCATCATCATCTCCGGGACAGCAGGAGCTGATCCCCAGCGAGCACGGTGCTCCGCCTGGCACCGTTACTGCCACCCAAACAGCACCGACGACCGGCGACAGTGACTCTGAAGCCGAGGTTGATGGACTTAAAGCTCCCAGGACTTCCATAGTGGACTGTCTGTTGGTGGAGCTCTATGAGACCTACAGCGGAGGCAGCAGGAGGAATGCGGACAGCTGGGACAGCTCCACCGAGGCATCCGGGTCAGATGCCTTCCTCGGCCGCAGTAACTCCGGGTCCAGCTTCCTCCAGGAGCTCCAGGAGAAGCACACCAGGAGGCATCAGATGAACTACTTGGCCCAGAAAGGTGAGGGGCGTGTGGATAGTTTGCCAGTTCCTGTGTCCCCTTAGGCATATGGACAGCATCTGGCCTAGTAAAGTCAATTTCATTCACATTAAATCATTAATTGTCTCTAAGGGCTGCACAATCTGTACAATATTTTACTATTGAGAGAAAAAAACAAAACAAAACTCTGTAAACAACTTGCCAAGTTCATTTGGTGTGATGGTACATCCCTATTTGCTACTTTCAGAAGTACTAAGTGCAGCTCTTCATTTCCTCATGCATATTTTCCCATCTTTTTTAGGTCTGATATTTGGATATGGTAGGTTAGATATGTAACTTAACGGCAGCGCTTTATATTGTTGTAATAGATGAGGGATGAGGATATGGCGATATTTTAGTCCTGTTTATTCATTATATTGATTGTACTTGACATAAAGGATCCTGCCCACATCTTTCAAGAATCCTCCTCTTGTAGAAAATGATGAGCCAACATATGTGATAAAGGTCAAAATTTAAGTTAAATTAGGTTCTGCTTATAACCTTTAGTGATTCTAAACACTTAAAAATCAAAACTGCTGAGATTTAAAAAGGAATGATCGCTCTTATTCTGGCATATGCCACTTATCAGTTACATGTCACAGGTGTCCCACAGGTGTCACATAAACTTCTGTCTCTGCCCATGACGTGAATGGAAACAGATCAAATTTGCGATTGTTTTTTTCAAAGTATATTTATTGAGTTTTGTTGTTTTTTAAGAATAACAACAAAAAACAAAACAACATCAACAAAGAGCTCAGCACAACATCGGTCCACACAATCAGCATTAATACAAATGACAGTTAGAAATCTATAGTGAAGAAAAACAAACTAATAAACATAATGATCATAATGAAAACATTAAAACAACTTTCCTTAAGTAAGAATAAAAGCCACAAAATAATTAGAAAATAAAATAATATAAGGTGACAAAGGGACATTACAATTCATTACAAATAAAAGACAAGGCACAACAAGTGTGGTTCATAATTAGTCATATTTGTGATTTTTAAATTGAATTAAGAATCTGCATATCAGAGGTGAAGATAAGTGGTTTTCCAGACTGTCTTCACCCTGCAGACAGATGCATGCTGGGTAAACAAAGAGGGGCTGTATGTACTAAAGAAGCAGGTTTTGTTTTGTTGTTTTTTTTTTAACTCTGCATCCGCACTAATCAAATATAGAAAGTGTCATGTCTGGCTAATACCTGATCTGCTTAGTGAGGTCAGGTTGCATTCTTAGAAAATATAATTAAATAACTGTGACTACTCTTGTGGAGGTATTTCATTTGCTACTACATAAAAACTAGCTACAGTTACAGTAGCTTTAAGGTAAGTCTCAAAAGAGAGGATGAATTGTGATAATATGAGACTTAAACTGACAAAGATTTGCTTTTATCTTTGTGAACTACTCAATAAAATGAGACTGTAAGTGGCTTGTCTGCAAGGATCCACTGTAATCAGATATGAGAAGAAGGTCGCCAGAGTACGCGGACCTTTACATACACAAACACACTCAGACACAGAGGATGATTAGTGTGTTGTTCTGTAGTGTTGCCTCGGGAATCTTGAAAGGCATGTTGGTGTGAGTGCCACGCTGCCATTGTTTCCTCTGTTAAAGTGGAATCCTTCAGTAAACACAGCCAGGCCGGTGAGTTCACAGTTTGCCCTCCGCACATGTGAGGCTCGGTCAAGTTAAACAATGCGGAGGAGGACCGGCAATCAGCGAGAGGAAGGCCTCCGATAACGCCCAGAAAAACATGTGACTCCTGTCTCTAATGTGTGTAGTTATAGGACTTAATGATGCGGTTTGGTAAAACTATCAATGTGTTTGATTGTCAGCAGCAGTGTAGTATATTAAGTAAATTCTCAACTTGCTAAAATGTCCTTTAGAAGATCCTTCTAGCTCCACCCAGACACAAATGCTTACGTACATATATGGAATTTCCATATATGAAATATACGTAAATATAAAATAAAAACATATATGTAAAAACTATATTATTAGAAATTGGAACAATTTCATATATTGACATATACGTATGTCAAGCCCATACAAATATGTATGTTTATGTATGCATGCTTATATTGTAGAGATATGCAAATATATATCCGTCTCAAAGTCCGTCATTATATGTTGATATTCTAAACAGTAGGGTCCAAAGTCTGAGACCACTTTATATACACAGTATATATAATATATTATATATATATATATCTCTTGATGTAGAGACGGATGAATCATATATTACACTTCCGTATGGGCAGGGCGTTGTCTATAGGTGACTGACCTTTGACCTCCCTGTGGATGAAGGGTAATGTGAACTTCCAAGGAAAAGGAGGTAAAAAGATGATCATTATTGACATTGTTCAAGCAGCAATTAGTGACTGTTTTAATTATTAGTTAATCCGTCATTTGTTTTGATTAATGAATTAATAGTTTGGTCTTTTAAATGTGAGAAATAATTACAAATACCCATGAAAAGCTATTGCTTCTGTCACACTTCAGATTTCCTCTTTGTTTCTAGTTAACACTGATCTAAATGTGTATGTGAGGAAATGAAGGCAAATCCAGACTTTTGTGAAGCTGTAAAGATTAAATATTTGGTATTTTGACTTAATACGTGACGTAAAGGAGCCATGAATTGTAATAATTATCACTGATGAGTTTTGTTTGCATTGATTTCTGGGAGACGACAACTGATAGTTGGTCAAAACAAAGAGACGTAATGTTTGTTTTTGATGATGCAGCTTCAGTATAAAGTTATTTCCTCATTATTGTTATTACTGATCACCTTCAGCTGAAAATCAGATTGTGTTTAACCTGAAAAGTCTTAGTGGGAGAGGGTTGTGTGTTAATGCGGGGCGACGCTCTGGTTTTCATTTCCTCTTTGCCTGCAGCTTGGAAAACAGATAAATGTCTGTGATACTGGTGTTTCAGTGACCTGCAGACGTCACACGCTCCAAACTACATCCAGTGGCTTTATTTACAACACATAACATTTGAGACGGACTTTCATAAATATATCTGTCTCTGTTTCTGAAGCAGAGAGACTGAAGAATAAAGGGCAACTTGCATTACATAAAAACTTATGAAAATACTTAACACAACACTTAGTTTTGCTCAAACAAATATTTTTTTGAGCTGTAACTTTTATAGATAAAAAAATTGGGTCACAAATTTACATATCACCCTGCAAGAAGAAAATATGAGCCCACAAATGTTGGATGCATTTATATGTGTCTTTTTCAGTATTGTACTGTTGAAAACAACAGGAATAAAACAGATCCCTGCCACGGAAACCCTGATTACACTTAAATACGTGTGTTATTTATCTTTCTGTGTGTGTTTTCAGCCCCTGAGGAGCTGCAGTCGATCATCCAGGAGGTGAAGTACCGTACAGGCCTGCAGTCGGCCAAGCTGATTCGCCAGCTGAAGAGACGAGACCGACTTTGTCACAAACTGCAGAAGAACTACGACATCGTCACGGCGTGTCTCCAAGCCGTCTCGCAGAAACGACGTAAGAAAACACAGTTATTGCTTTTCTCTCATACTGAACAAGACCAGTCTGTACCTGGACACTCTGCTGGAGGCATAAGTCATTTATGTAGATTTAAAAGGCTTTAATCTGATGCTGTTGGTCCATATTTTACTTCTACTTCTCCATATATAGACATTTTATGTGTGTGAGTGAGAAATATATTCGTGGTCATAGTTTTTCCTCCTTCTTCTGTACCTTGTCTGAGAACAAACAGCAGCTCTGAGTCAGACCTGTTCATATTGTTGTAGAAGCAAAACAGCATCACAAACAAAACGTTTGTTTCATCTGATCCAATTTTGTTTCCCTCTGAAATCCAATTTTGGACTCCACTGTTGTGTAATACCACAAGCTTCTTTAAAATGTGCATTTGAACCCAAACAAAGTAAAGTTGGTCGCCAATAGAAAAATGTTCTTTATATGTTGTATTTCCATAGTTTCATGTGATTTTCCATAAATCTTTAATACGATCAGATTCTCTGTAAATCAACCACAGGCTTCATGTCCAGAGGAAACACATTTACAAAAATAAGCTCTACATGCAACTAAAAGAACAACATGCCAAGCAGGGTGAATGCATCACATGTGCTGGTTGTCATATCACATGTAGTATGAAAATGACTTGTCTTGAATTTACATAATGAGCTGTGACTTACGGGCCAAAGTTAAAGACTCTGGGAAAATCGAACGCTCATTTTCATATTCCAGTCTCCCCACTCTTCAACTTCGAAGCTGCAAGTGAAATAATTCGACTGAATCTTCTTTTATGTAAGAGATGTTTATAATAACATGAACTATAAGATCTTTTTCTTTTTTTTCCCCAGGGAAGAGATTATGGATTAAAGCTCATCTTTGAATAATATAGACTCAAAATCCAAACCAGGAATTTAGCTGGAATTTGGGAGAATAACAAACGGACTAAATCCATGATGTCAACATTATTGGACATTACTGAAACGTTTAACTGAGCTCTTACATACAGTCGGCCTTGTAAAGGATTCTCTCAGAGGGCTTCAGCTTTTGTGGTTGATAGAATTTAAACAAATTTGACATGATTTAGGTGCATGTTGTTATTTTACTTTTATTTTTTACTGTGCTTTTCTTTCAACATGCAGCCCGGTGGCTCACCTGGAGGTAGGGTGTGAAATAATACACGAGTACTTCACTGCTTTTGAATTATTGGGTGTTTACATGTGTATTTATGGGCAGATTGCTCCATTATTTCCAGTATAGTGAGTATTTCACACAGCTCCTGTAATGTCAGTTACTCAGCATTAAACACGGTATGAATACATCTTTACAAAGGTCACCACCCGACAGGAAACGCACAATATGCAAAGCAATAAACTTCAGTTATTGATTATTATCCACCAGGCAACTGCCGGTATCAACACTTTATTGCTTCCTATGGTTGTGTGATGTCAGTATTTTCACATCATGGTTATAACTTCACAGAAAAAATAGCAGTTTGTGAAATAATTCTCCCTAATTGGCTTAAATAACAACAGGTTAATTTATTATGACGCTTCATCAAGGCCTTTTTTTCATTATCATCATCAGCGCTGTTTGCAGATATTGATTGAGAACGTCATTAAGCCTGGATGTGTTTTCCACTCAGGAAGCTCTTACTGTACCTGTGAGACTGAATCATAATGTCATGCATCATCCATTCAGTTTGCAGACGTCATTTCTTTTATTGCTTTTTCCCCCTCCTGGTTCAGGGCGTTTGGTTTAGTAGGTGACGGTGCAGAATCAGCGTTGGCTTTTAGGTCTGCAGCGATTTGCGGGTGTGTGTGTGGTGGATGCTGTAGCTCACAGGTGTGAGGAAGTAGGTACTGTGTTTTTAGGGAAACATTTTCAGTTTGATTCCAGGATCAGTAAAAGTATGTGTTAAAAAAGAATGGGTTAAAGAGAGGTGCTGCCTTTGGCGTTTGGTGCATCGCTTTGTTAATGCAAAGGCTTCAGTCCTTCAGACTCTGACTCTGCTGTGGGTCACTCAGATGGAGCTCAGATTTCAGCTTTTACTTTGTTTGAATGGACAGAGCACGTGTTGTAAGATGAGTTCAGTTTGATATCTTAGTCGATTATCAGCTATTTTGATAATTGAATGATGATTAGTGAAACAAAAAAGCTGAAGATTCTGTTTAAAAAGTCAATATTTGCTGCTGGTCTTCGTCACATTTGATTGTAAATTGAATATATTTATGTTGTTGACTGCTGGTCTGAAAAACAAGACATAACCTTGGACATTTTTTAACTACTTTCTGAACTTTTATAGTCAAAATGATTGATTGAGAGAGTGATTGACAGATTAATCCACAACAAAAGTAACTGTTAGCTCTTTCTCACAGACCTCCTCACGTACCTGACGTCCTTCTTCTGTTCCTCCCTCTTTAGATAAAAGGGGATGCTGTTTTTAATGTTAGAAATAAAATCTCTTCTGTGCATGTGGGATGTTACAGTGTGTTCACCTCAGTGACTGTTGCTCACATGTTCAGTAACATGTTTAAAATGTGTTGATCCATTCAGGCACTTTGATTTTCCATACTCTTGGTACAAGCTGTGATGCTTGTTAGCCGGCCAATCACTAAGTGGGTTAAGGAAACAAAAAAACCCACCCTCCCTCCTCCCTCTTCTCTCCTCTCTCCTCCTGCTCTCCACCACCATTACCTCATCCTTCTCTATCTCCTCCCCACGTGTCTCTCCATCCTACCGCATCCCTCCTTCCTTGCACCTCCTCCTGGTGACGCTGAGCCGGAGGAGGATGAGGAGGTGTCCCAGCATCAGCAGCGTTTTACTGACCAAAAAGCAGCAGCGAGCGTTTCCTCCTCCACTCCTCGGCTATTTTCTGATCCATGTTTTGTTCAGAATATCTGAGATCGTGATCACGGCTTCCTGGACGTTTCTGCGCCGTGAATGATGAAGTGATGGATCTGTCGTTTCCTTGGTTATAAGTCGGAAACACAAACCATCACCGGAAGAGATTGGAAACATCAGTTTAATTGATTAATTTTTTAACGTCAGGAGGAGGAGGAGCAGCAGCTGCGGTTCTGGACATCAGGATGGTTTCTCTTTTTTTACACGAAGACGTAAAGAGAGTCTGAACCGAGCGGGACAAAGCGATGAGGTGATCGAGCGGATTGAACAGTTTGATTCCCGATGAGGCAGGAGCGGCTCCCCGCCGCCGGCAGGAGGCCGAGGGCGGGCGTGAAGCAGCGGCAGCAGGGATCGGGAGGGGTCGGTAACATCATCAGCAACGTCCTGAAGAAACGGAACGGGATATCCAGGAGCGCGCCGCGGCTGCTCTGCACCTTAGAGCCAGGTGACCCACCAAGCAGACAGGCACTGCATCACGTAGCTCATCATGCGGGTTTAAACAGTGTGGAAACGGCGTGCTACAGTAGCTTAGATCACATGTAAGCCTGTGGTTTTATGGGGGCAGTTTGCACATCCTGCAGCAGCTGGTCTCATAGAAACGATTTCCCTTTATTCTCTCTTTGTCGTTTCATTTACTGCTTAAAACAGGCTGCTGTTATTTACACTGTGTCTTATTTCATGCTACAACTTTATGCTCATGCAATTGTCAAGTGTTTGCCATTTTTAAGCAAATCAGATTAGAATGATTTTACTGGATTATGGCTGATATCAAACCACCTATGTATCAGGCATAATTTTAATGTAAGCCTCAACACTAGTGACCTTTTTTATATATATGATAGATACAGTGAGCTATATTCCCTCATAAAGAGTGTAACCTGTTTTAATCGTCAGCTGATAAATTACTTTCTTTTGCTATATTACAAATATTTTCATGCATGGATCCTGTCACAAAAGCAAGTGATCCAGTTTTCCCATTTAAGGTGTCGGATGAGTTCATTTTCAGAGTTAAACTTGACTGAATAACCACAATCAAATCATGGGTTCATACAGGTGTTGATAAGCTTCAGGTGTGGTTTCATACGTCTAACACACTAACCACACAGCTGAGATGTCACTCATTACTTCACTTCTCCTCAGACAGTGGTGGATGGACACCACAGATTCTGTAGATATGTATGTGTATGTACATTTTGACAATTTAAAGAAATAGAAGACATTTCACAGCACTATTGATTTTAGACCCATCAGACAAACACCCAGTGAATGAGCCCTGATTTTACACCTTATATGTTTTTGATATGGACTCCTGTCCTTATGTTGGTCCCATGTTTGCAGTTACAGAAATAGCACAAGCACCTTTTATTATTATTAATCACACAGACACAGAGTGCATACACACATATAATTACTAAGTGCTTTAGATAAAACTAAACTAAACTAAACTAAACTGTAGAATAAGTATTCAGGAAAACATGAACATTTAGGACAGATGACTAATTGCTTCAAATAAGCTGATATTTGATTTTTTTGGACACATGAATTCTGATAAATCTGTGACAAATATTCATCCGCTCCTCAAATATTCATGCAAATGCAAAGTTCTTTGTTCCCTCTCGAAAAGGTCAGCAATTAGAAATACTTCATAACATCCCAACAAAAGCTGAAATCCTGTTTACAAGTGATGGAAGCAGCTTTAGAGTTTTTTTCAAACCGAGGCATCTTTATGATAATTTACAGTTTCGGTTTTAAGGGAATAAAAACAAGGTTTTCATAATGCAATATTTAAATTTTGGCTTGTTGTGAACTAGGCATCTTGCTTTCTTCTTTCTTTCTTTCTTCCTTCCTTTCCTTCTCAATTGTTCATTCCTCCCTCATTCTTCCGTCTTCTCCAACTGGTTCAATTACATTTAATTTCAGCTCTAAAGAAATGAAACTGTCGCTCATTATAATAGAACACGACCTGTGGACCGCGCTGGTGCCGCTGACCTTCGTTAAATACACGTTTAGTGTCGGTGGTGTGGGACTAATCTGCGACAGGGAAGTAGGAGGGTTTTTCCGTGTTAATCCTCTCCCAAAGCTCCGAGGGGAAACCGCAGAATAAAGCGGCGCTCGTCCACAATGGCGCAGGATGCAACGACAGAGGCGGAGCATACAGGTTAAACACCGACTTTGTCTTTTATTTGTTCTTTTTGTTATTGGGAGAGAAATACATTCTTCATACTTAATTAATCGGCTGCCCTGAGAGAGAGTGACCGATCCTCCAGAGACACAGCCGGAGGAGGGGGAAGAGAAATGGCCGCAGTCGGAGCTCCTTGGCCCGAAGCCGAAACATGTCAGGACCTTCCCTCTTAACTTCAGATCAGAACTTCATTTCCGTTTTTTGGGGGGTTTAGCCAACTCGTCTTAATATTCTCTAAAGAAGTTTGTGTCTGAGTGGAAGAGATTTGACGAGATTTCCGTTGAAGCGAGAATTCAGCACCGCGAGGAAACGGACAGCGACACTTCACGGCGCGAGACTCCGTTCATCTCAATCTTTAAATATCAAAACTATTATAAAAAACTACAGGCTTGATGATTATTATGATACAGTGTAATGAAGGTTAAGCATGTTCATTTATTTAATCAGTTTAGTGCACAGGTCAAAAAAACAAAGTGCTTCCGGTTTGGATTTTTAATTTCAGACTTTTATTGTGTAGACTAACCGAATTGTGTTCAGCATCTGTATCCATGGTTTTGAGAGGTATATAGTTATCAGTTATTGGATGGATGTGACTGAAGCTAAACAAAAATGGTTCCTCCCAGTTCTGTTTTGGCTCATTATCTTGTAGTAGGATGGAACCCGGACCAACCAGTCTTTCTCTCACCGGTCTGATAGCAATATACAGTCCTACTTCCTTCATTATAGTGTTGTATTAATAATGCATCAGAGAGTATAGTAGCACAGTTTGTACAGACAGAGGGATTGTAAGTCATCAACCTGTAGGAACTGTTTGCATTAACTTTCAGGGCTTCAATTACTTCCGTTGCAGGAAAGCTGGAAGTTCACCAATGCCTTAATCCCTGAAAAAGGCCTGTTTTCTTTTAAGCTTATATCATTTTTCAATTTTATTTAGCTCTGGCAGTTTACAGATTACCTTTGTACCGTTTGAAGACAATTCACTGGACTTTGACCGCTTAAATGTCAATAAACTGTAAATAAACACTAGGAAAATGCGGGTTTTGATCACAAATGATTATATAACAAGTGTTTTATGCATTATACAGTATCTTTGGAAAGTTTGGGTTGTCGACTTGTACCATGACAGTCATCCAGATCTGATTCAGGACCAGTCTAACCAAATGTCTCTGTCTGTTTGCAGGAGTTGACACGAGGCTGAAGTTTACCATTGAACCGTCGCTGGGAAAGAATGGATTCCAGCAGGTGAGCGACAACATGTTCCAGCAGAGACGCCGATTTGTGATATACTCTGTTTTGTGATTTAGTGATATGATAATGCGCTGAAGTACTCTTTAAATCTTAACTAGATAGAATGCATGAATATTGTATTGGCACATTCGCAGCCATGGCCTCAGTGTGCTGGTTAATTAAAAAGGTAAATAAAGCCATGGGTGTTTCCTTCCCTGCAGTGGTACGACGCCCTCAAAGCAGTGGCTCGACTTCCTACCGGGATACCAAAGGAATGGAGGAAGAGGGTATGTAACTTTAACGAAGTACAACATATGGCCTTGTCGGAACAACTGTCATCTTTCATCCTTTTGGCAGTGTAGTGCCTTGCTGTGTTCACTGAGCCTCACGGGGTAATGAAAATTTAAGTAGCAGATTATTTTTAAATGCAAAATTTAGCAGCCATCTAATTGTTGCATTCTGGGTAAATGCCTGTGTGAACTCTGGGCCACAACCATCGGATGTTACTTCTGTTTAGACCAGAAATATCTTCCATATAAAAAGACCTCTTCATTGATAAGAGCTTATGCATTTCTCTGCTCTGTTTGTGTTTGTTCTTGAACCCAGAGGGTATTTAGTAAAAGACAGTGGTGACCCAGTTGTGCTATTACAAGAAAAGTGTGTTTTCTTTGTTATTGTCAACCTGCATGCAGGGTTTTACAGTCTAGAGAGAGGCAGCACAGTCTGAAAGAACAATATGCTGAGGCACTTTGTCTACAAAGCTCCATTCATCGCACATCTTAGCTTTATCTCTTGGGATGAACGAGCGAGGAAACGGAAGCGATTACTTTCATCTTGTCAGAGGAGAAGAACAATGAAATCTTGTCTCTTGCTTGAACTTGCAAAACAAAATGAGTCACTGTGAACAAGAGGCCTCTTATAGACGCGCTGGAGGAAAGACACTTTAAATATTTGTTTGTGTAACTCAGTGGGGACAGTGAATGTTGGAGACATTTCTCTAGTTGCCTTCACCTTGTGAAAGTCAAAGGTATTTTTGTAGCTGTATGTGTTTCACTGTGTGTCTGCTGCTGCTGTGTTTGTGCAGGTGTGGCTAACACTGGCGGACCAGTACCTCCACAGTATCTCCATCGACTGGGACAAGACGCTTCGTTTCGCCTTTAACGAGCGCAGCAACCCAGACGACGACTCCCTCGGCATTCAGATCGTCAAGGTAACACAGATTGCATTTTTGTGTTGTGTTGGGGGGTGGCGGGGAGTGAGAAGAAATGTGTTTGCGCAGTAGATGTGCAGGGGAGTTTGTGGGCTCTTGTGTTCTTGTGTGTCCTGAGTCAGCAGCGCAGTGAACGGTGTGGAAGCCTCAGCATTTTTCCACAGCATGTAGATTAAAAGTGACGGAGACAGAAACCACATCAATGTCTTTTGAAGAAAAGTGTAGAGACTGTTCAGCGTCTCCAAGAACACATTATTACTTTAGTTCAGTTGGGGCTGGGTATCTATGCTGCAAATTGTATTTTATTCTACTTTATCTGTTCTTTTATTATTCATTTTCTTATTTTTTTTCTTTGCTAATGTTTTGCTTTTTAAAATCTCATTGTATCTCATTGTCAGCTTTCTTACTTGATTTGTCCTTTTCTTCTTTAGCTAACTGGTCTGAAAAGTGCTTTACAAATAAAATTTGATTGATTGTTTGATGAAGCTTAAAGATAAAACCAAAGTAAAACTAAAATTTGTAACATAGTTTGTGTTGTAATTAATTAAAATATCGTCAAAAATCAGTATTGAAGTTAAGGTTTTCGATATTGAACATTTTTGAATGATACCCAGTGCTAAGTACAGTGTTAGTACTGTAGTCTAATTAGCTTTAGCTAGCTTTAGCAAGGTGTACCCAATGAACAGGCAAATGAGTGAGTAATTATCAGAAATTAGAGAAAATACAATTTCATGACCATTTTTGCAAATTGAGGAAATGACGTATAAAAGCAGAATTGTTTGTTTGTTTGTTTGTTTGTTTGTTTGTTTGTTTGTTTGTTTGTTTGTTTGTTTGTTTTGAGAGGGAAATTCTTGATCTCGTTCTGCTTACTTTTATCTGAACTTTCAACCACATCTTCATCAGCAAATGTATCGACTGAACAACCGAAGAATCATCAGTCGCTAATGAAGACAGTAAGATTCCTATGAAAGCTCCAGAAAAGCCCCAAAAATGGACCTTGAATTCAGATTAATTTGTTTGTTATTTTGAAGTAAACGACAAATATCAAATGTGTGATAGTCTAGTTTGTTGTTTAACTGTAAGAAACAGTCTGAACCTGTGACGTGATCTTCATCAAATATCTCAGATTCAACAACCATCATTGATATTGACTGAGTTAATTTTAGCAAAAAATTACTAATAAAATACGGTCTATCATTAAGTAGAGGATGTTTGCTAATGATTGTGCGTCAGAGAACGGGACAGTTGCATCATGGAGACACTGGAGCTCTTTCTTTTATTTCTCAGTGACTCAGATTCAGCAGAGTCACAACTGTTTCCATCGACAGGGCAAAGTCCATTCACCTGCTTCTCTGTGTGTGTTTGTCTTCTGGTCTCTGTCCTAAATCCATTCACCCAGTTAGTGCACTTGTGATTAAAAAATAATTCATGCCGTACGTCCTCCCTCCTCATGTCCAGGACCTGCACAGGACCGGCTGCAGTTCTTACTGTGGCCAGGAGGGGGAGCAGGACAGGGTGGTGCTGAAGAGGGTGCTGCTGGCGTACGCCCGCTGGAATAAAGCTGTAGGTTACTGCCAAGGCTTCAACGTGCTGGCCGCTCTCATACTGGAAGTTACAGAGGGAAGTGAGAGCGATGCACTGAAGGTAAACACACCCAGTAATAATAATAATAATAATAATAATAATAATAATAATAATAATGTCACAGTAATTATGTTAAGATGGAGAAAATATGAATGCAGATATGCTTAAAATGAAATGCTGTATAAAGTCCTTCAGTTTAAACTGATTAAACTTCCTGAGTTTCTGTGTTGCTCTGTTCCCTGTGAATAATAATTAAACACCACAGAACTGTCTTCTTCTGCTCCTCTGCATTCAGGTGATGATCTATCTGATCGACAAAGTGCTGCCAGAGAGTTACTTTGCAAACAACCTCCGAGCGTTGTCAGGTGAACACACAAGCTGATGTATATTGGAGTTGAAAACATCCTAATCAAGATCAGAAAGGAAGAATACTTCACACACAGTAACTTCTTCAGCCCAGGAATAAACTACAAGTTGTTATTTTGTACAAGGACAGAATTTGTTGTCAATTTTTAGAAACAAAAACAGTTTTGATCATAATTTTTTAAGGAAATTGTCAAAAACAAACGGGTTTCAGCTTCTTTTCTTTGTCTTGTATCATAGTAAATATATATTTGGGGTTTTGGCCACTGATTGCACAAGACAACCATTTAAAATGTGTCACCTCGTTCTCTGGGAAAGTGTGATGAGCATTTTTTCATAACATGAATCAAAGAATCAATAAAATAGTTGGCAGATTCATCAATAGTGAAAGAGCTTGAAGGTTAATGGATGTGGAAGTTGAGGTCTGGAGAACTCGGTAATCAAAACACACCTGTGCAGATTTACAGTGTCGATTAACGCTGCACAATGAAACATCTCCTGTAACTACCAGTTGATTGATTTGAGACTTGAGTGATTTGTATTGTTTAATCTTCCACCAGTTCATCTTTTTTACTCTGTGATGTCTCCCTCCGTCAGTGGACATGGCGGTGTTCAGAGACCTGCTGCGTCTGAAGCTGCCCAGACTGTCGCAGCACCTGCACCACCTTCAGAAAGCAGCCAACAGAGAAGCTGGAGGTACAGATCCCTGAATAAGAGTGTGTGTGTGTGTGTGTGTGTGTGTGTGTTCACTAATCACTCACCTAATATTACAAATAACCACGTGTCTCCCTTCTTTCAGGCAGTTACGAGCCTCCACTGACCAACGTCTTCACTATGCAGTGGTTCCTCACCATGTTCGCCACCTGCCTGCCGGCGTCCACCGTGCTCAAGATCTGGGACTCGGTTTTCTTCGAGGGGTCAGAGGTGCTGTTTCGTGTCGCCCTCGCCATCTGGGAGAGACTGGGAGAGTAAGTGGACCGCTTGATGTCTCAATTTCTCCCTCCACTCCTTATTTTCACGTCTTTTAACCTCCGCTCCTTTCTCCCTCCGTCTCTCGCCAGGAGGATCGAGTACTGTCAGACGGCTGACGAGTTTTACAGCACGATGGGTTGTCTCACGCAGGAGATGCTGGAGCGCAACCTCATCGATCCTGCAGAACTCATGCAGGTACAGGATGAACCGAACTGCTCGCACATTTTAGTGAAGAAGTTAAATCGATATATGTACCAGTGTAATAATTCTTCTCTCCTCCCTCCTCTCTGTCTGTCAGGAGGTTTACTCCATGGCTGTGTTTCCTTTCCCTCAGCTGGCCGAGCTGAGGGAGAAATACACCTACAACATCACTCCGTTCCCTACCTCAGTCAAATCCAATGGAAGGTTTGTTTTATGAGCATACTTCACATGATAGTTATCATTTCATTTCTCCAACTTGCTGCCTTTACAGGGGCCATGTGGAGCTTTGACCACTTGTGGCTCCAAGAACCAATATTCTGTTTACATACAGTGTGAAACTCAACATGTAGACATGATGCTGACAGCAGGAGGTAATGCAGATGTACAGTGTGGTGCACGTCAATATAAATTCAACAGGATGCCTGTGAACTTTCTGTTGTTTGTACAAACACAGACACAGGTTGTAATTGCAGCCTAGTTATAGCTAAGTTACTGTGCATATTCCTCCTTCACAGGGCAACACGAGCAACATCATATAATAAAATATTCAGTTTACATGTCTCTTAAAGGACTTCTGGACCCGATCTGAAACGGACCCTTGAAAATCCTGCCTTAACCCAATGGGCAAACATTCATTTTAAAAGAAAGAGATAATTAGACACAAAAATGAAAGTCAAAATGCGTAAACATTTATTTTATTATTAATCATAATCACATTAATCCACTGAGTTCACACACATTACATCCATCCAACATTACACATGTGATAATGGCAGCGGCGGCGGTGGTGATGATGATGTCATCATTGTCTCGTTCCAGTGGCGGTCTGGGCAGCTGGGAGAGCGACGATGACGCCGACATGGACGACGAGGACTCTGTGGTGACTGCGCTGGGTTGTCTGGGGCCCCTGGGCGGCCTGCTGGCCCCCGAGCTGCAGAGATACCAGAAACATCTGAAAGGTCAGTGCAGCAGACGCAGAGGAGCGACACACAGAGGATTTAAACGGTAACCCAGGGAGAGGTCAGCAGGGCGAGCGGGTCTGAGGCTGGCTGTTGCCCCAAATCCTCATGTTCTTGCCCCCGATTTGACTCCAAGTACAAACCGTCTCTGATCTGTTTCCTCCAGACAAATCCCTGCTTCCTCCTCCTTCAGCCACTCTGTCTAACATGGGGAAAAAAAAGAAAAAGGGCAAACAGCCTGAGGGCTTTAGTTCAAAACATTGGCTAAGATCTGAAGCTGCAGTCGTCACACTCCAGAGACAGATTTCAAAGCTCCATTTAACCTCATGAGTAAATCTCAGCACAACTGATTTGACCTGGTTCAAAAGGGAAGCTTTGCTCATTCTTAAGAGCTACGAGTCGTCAATAAATCATCACCACCGTCACCGTGAGAGAGAAATTTAATTACGGTCTTTACAGCACAAAAACAGGAAGAGAAAAAGTGAAATGCAGTCAAGTGAATGTCAAACACATCTCAACACAAATGGCAATGTTGCCTTCAGTGGCCAAAAAACTAAAAACTAAAAACAGGAAGGAGTGACTCAAAGTCCTCAAAGCCATGTACAGTAAGTATTTCAAAAAAAACATTTGGTCTTAAAAATAAACACAATCAAATGTTGTTGTCATCTGCTTTCAACAGCATCAAGAAGCTTCTTTTCTTCCTGGTACTTAGTTTTGTGTCTTGAGTGGTCGGCTGATCTTGATTAAAGCAACTTCGGGTGAACAAATAAGTAAGAAAAGGAGCTTTAAGAGACCTAAAAAAAAAAGGCGCATCGGATTATGTCTGATTCATGAATTCTGCTGGAATCTTTTCTTCCTTTTTTTTTTTTTTTTTTAAACCAAAGCCTTTGACCTTAATCTGTTAAGTTTCTCAGATTCTCAAAGCGAACGTCACTCTCATGTCGTCTCATTTGATATTGTTTGGTTAAAAACAAGAGTTCAATGTGTGTTTCAGACCAGCGAGCGGAGCAGGGAAACATCGCAGAGCTCAGTCCGGGAGCGGTGGGAGCTGGAGGGGCAGGTGGAGCAGGAGGAGGAGGAGCAGGAGGAGCAGGAGGAGGAGGAGGAGGTGCCAGGGCGGAGCATCAAGCCGCCATCAACAGCATGATGATGGAGAGAATGAGCACCGACATCTACGCCCTGAAGAAGCAATATGCTCGCATCAAGAGGCGGCAGCAGCAGCAGGCTATGCAACTCTACATACGCACAGGTAGGTGGGGGGGGGGGGGGTGGGGGGGGCATGACAGCAAGTATAGATATATATATATATATATATATGTATATACTTCTGAGTACAGAAAAATAAAATGGATAACAAAAAGAAATATTAATAACAGAAAAACAAATTTTCACAGATTTAAATATACACTCAGATGTGTGTTCATACAAGTGGACATGTGTTTATATAAACGGTGGTCACAGTGTATATTTAAATTCTTTTAAATATGCATTAAGGTGCACAACCAGGTAGACAGTAAGATGACCACATTAATGCTCATAACTGCAGATTAGAAAAGAGAGTAAGTTAAACATGTAAGAGAGGGAGGTGTGGTTTAAAAAGATCTGGGAACCGCTGCTTTAGATTTAGATGGTAACCCAACTTCTTTGTTGATGGCAGCTGCAGTGATTTATTGTAAGTAAATACGTAAAAACTTTTTATTTCAGAACAAAATATTCAACTGAATTTAGAGATGTTGTTGTATTGTTTAAAACCTAGTAAAAGTATTAGTTCCCACTGCCTGTTTGAGAGTTATAGATACCATGGCAACAGAAAATACTTATGTTTACCGTGGGAGTATTTGTCCAAGTCTTTATTTAAACACCAACATTTCTCCAAATGAAAGTGTGAATATCATGAGATAAATAGGAATAAAGGTGAAGTCCTGCCTGTAGGAGCAGAACAGTGGAAACACGCAGGACAGGAAGTTGTTTGATGATGATGTGTGACTCGTAGGACTTGGACCTGAAGTGGCCACAAGTCCAGGAGTTCTTCAGGAGCGTCCCGGCAAACCCAGCGACAGTACTGAGCACCAGACTGAGGGTACTGGTGTCGAACCATCTGAGACTGGGTGTTCTGGGGCTGATTTCAGGGTCTCTAATGACTCATTGGTGTTTGAAAAGCAGTCAGCTTATTTAAAAAGCTGTACGTCTACCATTGGTTCCCAAGGCAGATTTCCATTTTCTTTTTGTTTTTGCTGTTTTTTGTGGGTAAAGTAAGAAAATGAACACAAAAAAAAATATTCATCTGAAGAAACTGGTTCATGTTTTGGAAATCTGCATTGGAAATCTGGTACAGGAACTTCTGGCTCCAAAATATTGAATCTTTTCCAGGTTGTATAAGTGAATTTATAAAATCTGGTTATGGTCGCTCTGGCTTGAAAACATATGATGCTCTCAAAATGCTGCAGGGTGCATCCGTGCACGGTTCAATTTTCTAAAAAAAAATAACAAATGTGGCTGCAGTGTTGAGCAAACAGAACAGATTCACAGATACACTGTCTTTATTTGACAGTTGTCAGACGAGAGGAGCCGAAGCCCCTGACCGACATTCTGAGAGCATTTCTGAAACCGGTGCTAAACTCTGCTTCAGTTGGTTTTATTTTTAAAAAGAAGACATATGTTTGGTAGCTGGGGCAACTGGTGATGGTTTTGTTCTGGTTGCAGGTGGTAAATACACAATTTAAAGTAATTAAATCAGCGTTATTATAGATATTTATTTGGAAACACCTGTCACTACTGTACATAAGACATAAGAAAATCTACCTTATACATCCCAAAAGGAATTCAACCACCTACATTTTAATTATATTCCAGTGATAATAATGACTTTTTATTTATTTATAGATAACTGAACATTGGGAATATCTTCAGGAGTGACACGTGTCTCCAATTATACTTGATTTTTCATTTGATTCATGTTTCTTCCGCGGGGCTGTTGGAGGTTTTCTCAAACTCCTGTTACTAATCTTCATTAACAAACTCTAACTCTGACTGTTGCAGCTCCTCTCATCACATACTAATATATGATTCATGCGACTTGTGTAAGAGTATTACAGAGAGATTTGATGTTATTCCCCTTCAAATACTCAGAGCTCTGAGCACACACACACACACACACACACACACACTCATCTCTCTTCACCATATAAACACTCGGCAATCAGCTTTTATTAAGTCCTGTTTACATTAACATGGTTTACTGACATTGGGGAAAAGCCCAAATACTGTACACTGCTGTACATATTATATAATATTAGATTATTTATAGAGGAATGATTATGTACTTTACCAATAATCCAGAAACTGTCTCGATCAGTAAGAGGCTTGATGGATAAGTCCTTCAGAGGTTAAAACCAGAAACGGAGGGCGCCCTCTAGTGTCAGCTGTTGCATCTGCAGGATCAAATGTTACATCATTTCTGCTAATGTGACTGTTGAAGGAAGAATTAAATTAGTCAGTTAACAGAATATTAATCAATGAAATACACTAAATTTTAATCAATGGAAATGTTTTTTAAAAATATTGATAATTGAAGTAAAATATAGATCTGCTTTAGTCAGACAAACAACCTTATTTAAAGGCTTCATCTTGGAGCACACATGAGTATATGTTTTACATTTATTTATTTATTTATTACAAATCTATATAATAGGACGTCTAGTTTTGATAAAAGTTTTAAAGTAAAAAATGCAGTTCACCATTTGACAGACACTCATGAGTCTACTATCTCACTTTTTTTATTTTTTCAAGCCTCTAAGACACTTTGTGCTTCTATTACTTGGACCTGGCATCTTTTCTAAACCAGTTTTTATGTTTGTCTTCTTACCTTTCACCCTCCATCCAGACAAGTGCCCAGCCACCCGTGTCCTGGCCTCCCAGCTCAACCCTTCCAGCTCCGTGATCAACCACCTCCTCCTGGGTCGGAAACCACGCGGCTCCACGAGCACGTCCACTCTACCAGGGGCTCGACCCGCTTTTCTGTCCCAGAGTCAGGGCTCCCCGGCCAGGCAGCGCTGTGGCTCACTGCCCTCCAACGGCTCCGGATCTCCAGGGAGCTCCGGAGGAGGAGGAGGAGGAGGTGGCGGTTCACCGTGGCGTGCTCATGTCCGGGTTCATCGGAGGAATATCGCCAGGGCTCGAGCGCAGCTGGGCTTTGGAGATTCAGAGGAAAGGGAAGATGAGGTGGAGGAGGAGGAGGAGGAGGAGGAAGAGGAAGGAGGATCAGTGACACTGGAGGGTGAAGAGGAGAAGAAGATTGAGGAAAACAAGAGAGATGATGAGGAGCAGAGAGAGGAAAGTGACACCTCTGTTTCTCCATCTCCTGATCCCTCTGTCACAGGGTCTGTGGGTGAAGAGGCTCCACAGGTCACAGATGAGACAAAAGAAGCTGAGGTTGCAGAGGTGGTGGTGCAACTGGACTCCCTGGATCTAGAGGACGAGTCGAACCTGACCTCCCCCATCACTGCAAACCCAAATACATCGCCCACACTCCCAGAGTCTAAGCCTGCGCCCCAAGTTCCTCTCCTCCCTCCTCCGCCGTCCTCAAACAGACACAAAGAGTCCAACTCCTCGGGTTCAGAGCGAAGCGCCGCCTCTGACAGACAGTTTCCCTCCATTGCTTTACCTCCACCTCACCACTCCTCCTCCAGCTCCTGCATCCCTTCTTCCTCTCCTTCCACCCCGAGTCCATCCCCCTCCCCGGTCCCAATGTCAGCTTCTCTCGGTCCCTCCTGCTCATCCTCTCCTACACCTCCCTCCACCCCGACACCAAACTCCACATCCCGCCTCCCGTCCTCTTCATCAGCCAATGGCTTATCCTCTCTCTCTCTTCCTGCCTCCTCCACCTTTTACAAAACTCCCTGCCCTTCCACGCCCTCACTCTCCTCTGTCTCCTCATCTTCCAAATCTCACATCCCGTCCTCCCCGTCAACCCCGGCGTTCTCCTCCACTCCCAAACAGCAAGTCTTCTCCCCGTTCCCTTCCGTGAAGCAGCCCAGGAAATCGGTCGCAGCCAGAAACCTCGGCCTCTATGGTCCCACATCCAGAACGCCCACCGTACACTTCCCCCAGCTCAGCCGCAACCTCAACCGCAGTAGCGCCGCCGGCACCACGGGGAGTCGATGAGCACCTGAGCGCTCCTGAACTGATGCTGGAAACACACAGTTGTTACATGATATGAAAAATCATTCTCGAGTTACACCGTGTTGCCTCCTGCGTATCAAGAAAATAACCCATTTCTTATATATAGTAGTGAGAAAGTTGTAGAAATGTAAAGTTCACCTGACAGACGGGTCATCCTGAAATTCACAAGCCATTATGGACGAACATTATAAAACTAGCTGACTATTATTTCTTCATGGTTTGTTTAGTGTTTGAACTGCAGCGGATGTGTAAGGCTGAGGAGTTTGGGGCACGGGACCATCCCAGTATCAAGCCCTTTACAGTGGCCTATGCAGGTTCTTCTTGACCATAATTGTAATTGCAATCGCACCGCATTTGTGCAGCTCTTCAATCTCTAATGAGGATCCTCCCTGGACTGACACTGGAGGCAAATGTTTCCCTCTGGACTCACGTAGACAACATGTATCAACACGATGAAGTACATTTTCTCCTGTGCGATTACACAATAGCCATCCAGTTGTTTCTATGCCAAGTGATTTAAGAAATAACTACACAAGAAACAAATATACCTAAAAAATTATGTAAATGAAGTATCACAAAAACAAACTGTGTGTGCCCCCCCCCCCCAAAAAAAAAACAGCCCACTCATAAAACTTGTGATCTCATGAAGCACTTAACATCCTCTATGTGTACTCTGTCTGTGTCTCGACTGTTGAACGTAAGGAATTTAATTTTTCAATCAATAATGATGTAAGTGCGAATGAGAGAGATTGTTTTGATCATTGGAGGGTGAACAGTGTAAGTGAAATATGGCAAATCTAAATATACAGCAAGGTTTTTCAAAAGTTTAAGTGGTGTTCATATAAAGTAAATGTAATGTTCTGCTTTATAAGGCAGGACTACATCAAATCATATTAGCAGCACTTTAAAGAGATCTTATTTAATGTTGATTTCCAGTATAAACAGCCCAACCATACTCAAAGCATGCTTATTTAGAAACTTACCACAAAGCTGCAGCTTGCCACTGGGTTTCAAATGCTGCCCAGTCAGGCAAATACAAATAAATAAATTATAGAAGATGGAAAAATCCCAGTATGGTCAGTCATGTCGTGGCCTTCATTAAAAACAACAACCTCTGAGTGGGAAGAAATGTTGCAGCTGCAGCACAACATCCTGCTTGAGGCACAGATGTAGCCAAGAATAGGGATTGGTGCAAATTAAAGTCAGTGTAATGTTTTAGAAAGAAAGGTTTGTGAGCATTTTTAGCAAATGCATGACATTTAGCCTCAGTTTGGGCCTCTCTGAATCATTGCTTTTACATTTCAGACTTTTGCCTTGATGGTTTCATTTGACTCAAATCAGTTTTTCAAAAGGAAAAATACACTTCAAATGTTGAAAAATTGGTGCAAGCTTTTGACAACATGTATTTCTGTCTTTAACAGTTCCAGATTACACAAAGACACTATATAGCTGGAGTGAACAATATTTTCTGGGCTGCATAAATTAGATAATTTTTAACCTGGTTTGTAAGTTGCTAAATTTTTGTATCAAATAGGGGTTGGAGGATTGATCCCCAAAGTATCAATACCACTTGCTTTAAGTATCTATACTAGCATCTATAGAATCTATACCCAAAAAAAAATATATTAAATGAGAATCGTAAAATGAAATGCCTCATATTTGGCAAATTATCTGGCAGTAATTAAATTTTTATATAAATAAATTGTGACATATTTCTCTCCCTTATATAGACAGTACAGCTTCTTTTAACAATAAAAAAGTATCAATATTGGTATTGATACTTATTGATGCTGGCACTGGTATTATTTGGTCAGGTTGACGAAGACCATTTCTTTTAACCCATTTTTCAGGTTGCTAAGTTTGTGTCTTCACCAAACAAAGCTTGTAGCTGAAGTTGTTTTGTACTAAAATTGTTAAAAAATATATATATATTATAATAATGTTCAATTAATTTAAAACGCAAGTGACTCAAAATAATTGTCTCTCATATTGTATTAAATTCTCATGAATAAATAACCTTTTATATTTTCCTGCATCCTAAGTGGGGAAGATAAAAAAGTGAACACCGAGGCAAAAGGTCACTTTCTGATAGCCATCTTTGTTTTGATCAATAAACAGTTGCGCGATGTGAAACGAGTTAAAAATGCCGTTTACTGTGCAGCGGGCAGATTAGTTTTCCTCTCGTTTGGCCAGAAGAGTTATGTAGGAATGTGGAAATGGCTTCAAAATGGCGGTAAGTGTCGTCAGTTGACCTGCCGGAGTTTTCCAAGTTGGAGCTAGCTTTAGAGCTGTTGCCAGATTGTACTGACCGAAAGTAGTTTTGGTTACGTTACGTTAAACGATAAAAGTGACGTTTCATGTAAATTACAGGAAACGGGACTATAATTCACAAAATGCAGTGGATTCAGTGAGTGGCTTGCTACAACTTGAACATCCCCCTTCCTTTTGTTGCCTATATTTGTTTACATTTTGGCAAATTGGCGCCATTTACAGTATGCTGAATTAGCTATTAGCAGTTCCTGATTGCAGTGCACCCATGAATGTAAAGCGAATATCATTGGATTACTCTGATATTGAAGAAAACGTAAAAACGGGACGTTTCTCGGGACGTTTCTCGGGAAGGTACTGCAACGTCTTTTTTTTCCGTTGTTTTTCTAAGTGGATTTATAAGCTTTTATTTGCAATAGACATCAGACATCATGAAATGCTTTAAGTATAAGTCATGCTGTATCTAAAAATATGCGAGTCATAGAGTCAAGTTATTGGGCATTCACATGATTAAATATTTTAAAAAAAAAAGGCTACTTTAACAGCAACTGAATCCCTTATGGTAGAAAAAGTATGATAGTGAAGATTATAACAACCTATCCAAATTAATTTTTATCCATCCAGTCATTTGCATTTCTCCTGTCCTATTTTCATCTCTTTAGTAACCTCTTAAAAATGTATTTTGCCATTATTTCATCATCAGTCGCCAAATGTCTGTGTAAGCAGCTGAGTCAATTCTTATTTTGTGTTTTGTTACGGCTGCTTCTTCTGGTTTCCACTGCCATAGTTTGTGGGAAATGTCTTTTTTTTTTTTTTTTTTTTTCAAGACAGTGTATCATCTTATTTCTTATCCCGTTACTCACCAAACCACAGGAATGCTGTAATGTAATGACACCAACACATGAGGGTGGAGACATGTTAAAGGGGAAATTATAGTACACGCTGTACACCAAGTTATCCTTGATTACTAGGAAGAGATCTGATGTCAACTCAGAGCACTACCGCACTCCAAATAAAGAAATACTAGGTAGAAAGAGAAGTGGCTCAGTTGTCTAGTTTCCTGTGTAATGCAATGAAATATGCGGTTTTACGGGTGATATACAGTACTACTGTAACCAACATGTTCTACAAGCCTTGTTTTGTCCCAGTTAGGTGGTAGGCAGTTGGCATCGGCTCTGTTCAATTCCTGTTACTACTTCAACTGCTTCTTCATACAAATTCACGTCAGCAACACAGTTTAGCTTCAGCTTGTGCAGAAGCATTTTCTAGTTCATTATACTATTAGGATTATGGCAGGAAATAATTCCAAAAATAATAAAAAATAATCTACTGGTATTTATTGATATCTTCAATACTTTGGGTGGTATGATGGTGAAACCGGCATTTAATTTAATTCTATGTGATATTAAAAAGTCTTTAAAAGTTTGACAGAACTTAGTGAACCTTGCAGAGCACATACACATGAAACAGTCTACTCCACTTACACCACGTACAGGACTGTATGTCGTAAACATATTTTTTTCTTAAGTAAAACTGGTTGAGAGGTTTTCTCCACTTCTTAGTAAATTTCATTAACTTCGGAAAAAATATTTGTAAGAGAAATGTCAAGTGGAAAGACTGAGTTCTTTCTGTCAGCACCTCCCCCTCCACACTCAGTTTATCAGATGACTAATGCTACGCATAAACCAAAGTGTTGTTCTAGTCAGAAGAAAAACAGACAGCGGTCTACAAAAAACAACACACATTTTATTGTACATGATTCTGAACAATAAAAACTACAGTATGCAGGGATCTATCCAAGTAACAGCATCAATAAAAACACCTGAGGTACAATCAGAAAACATACATTAACAAAAAAAACCTGTAATTCACCTTTGCTACACAATAACAGCTCGATTCCAACAACAGTACAGTATGTCAACATGATTACTTAACAGTTATTTACACAACAAAGGGCCGTAACATCTGTACCAAAATGGAGGTAAACGACTCAGTATGCTATGGAATAAAACACAAAATAAAACAGGACAATAGATTTAATTGGTGTAACTAAATCTCTCGCAACTACGTTTGCTTTACTTGAAGACATGAACTTCATAAAGTATTATGAGGCACCATAAGTTAATTACAAGCACATTTTCTATTGATAAATATACCCTGATAAACACGGAAGCAAGTTTAGGGGTTGGATACTTTTAAGGGGGAAATCTATATGTAATTAATTACATGCTTTTAAAGTGAAAGGAATTGGTGAGTTATGATTTAAGCCTACACAGAATTGTCTAATTATATGTGAGGTATCATAATGGACTTCATGTATATTGTTAAGAGTCTTAGTTTAATCTTCTTTGCCTCTCTGTCTCAGCACAGATGTTTTGTTTTCTGGTTGTTTTTTTTTAAAGATTTGTGGATGTTTCTATTTTAAGTTTCAAAATGGAGAGAGACAGAAAGGACGTGCATCAAATATCGAAATATCGTGTCACAGTTGTGTTTGTGTGTGCCTTACACCCAGGACACACCCCCCTTTTAGTGGTCATCATCATGTTTATGGATACAGTTGAGATTTGTGACATTCAGCGTCTAAAGTCTCTGCAGTTTGATTGAACAGTTACAGTGAAGTGCTGGTTGTGACTGAGCGGCTTTGTTCGTTAGGTAGTAGGTTGTTGGTCAGGTGGTCAGCGCGCAATGCGAGCCATCCCCGGGTTAACGAAGGAGAAGTTTCTGAACATCGTCTGGTCAACGCTGTTGATGAGCGTCCGGTCGGCACATGACAGCCGAGGCTTCTCGTTGATGAACTCTTTGTCGAAGTTGCTGCAGTCGCTGGGCGACGACTGTGAGGGTAGAAGAAGAAAATATATTTTAATTTTTACAGGATATTGTTTACCTCCGCCATAAAAAGAACCAACTGTCAACTTGCTGCTTTCACATATGCATCATTAAATGAAAAGCTCAGTTAACGTTCAGGATTAGTGAAAGATTTTGGTTAACATTAGTATTAAACTATACAAATGCCATTATCTTTGTTTGTATCATAGAAATTCAAAGGTTATGTTTTCATTAATGTGTTATTTGTCAGCAGGATTACAGAAAAATGACTCAACCGATTTACACTGAACTTGTTGGAGGGGTTGGGTCACGGGCCAGGGAAGAACCCATTCAATTTTGGGGCAGATCCAGATCGTTTGTGCTAAATTTATAATATTTTTTCTCTTAAGTCTGGTTCATGTTGTTTGAATCAATTGAGTTCCTTCCTAATTGGTTTGCTGGTCACCTGCTGTCACCAGGATTATGCAAAAAGTACTGAACCAACTTGCACCAAACATGGTAGAGGAATTTCACTTAACTTTTGCAACCTACAGCATTTTTGTTCAGAAATTAGACATTTATGGTTGAGATCTATGGGTGTGGACAAGTGTAGTAGGATTGTTTGGCCTAACCCTAACCCTACCTTCGACATAGTACTGTTCCCTCTAAAAAGGTAAAATTCTCAAATTGATTGTTTTATCTGGGCAACAGTCCAAATCAGAAGATATTTATTTGATAATGATATAAAAACAGAAAAATATGAAGTGCCTTAACTAGACCAGTAATCCTTATTTTTTAATATATTACTTATGATTTCATCCAGATGTTGCACACATTTTTGTGTAAACAAGAGTCTCTGTTTTTCATGGTATTTCAATGCTGCTTCTCAGTATGTTTGTTTCATTAAATGAGTTTCCTCTGGAACTGGGTGTGGCAACAATATGCAGAAGAGACAGAAAGTCAAACTGAAAAGCATAAAATCCATCTTGTTATATTTGCAAACAGGTCTACTGCAGCCAAGAGGAAAATCAGGCCCTTCTAATTTAGATCCCTTTTAGTCATGGTTATGGGTGGGTCAAAACTCAAGCTTGAACAAATTCAAACTCGCATGTAATGTCTGTGTGTTTTTGGGTTAGACTGTAGCCTGTGAACAGACCCGGCTGTACTTACTAAGGTTGGCCTGAAGGGTGGCGCCACTTGCCGTTGCTCCAGGGAGATCCAGTCAGTGCTGCTGAAGAAACTGTGCTGCCTGATGTTTCCTTTTACTCCCAGCCTCTCTTCAGGCTCTCTGACAAACAGCTGCAGCACAGATGCACCAGAGCCAAGGTTAGATACATGACATACTCTAGTAAACCCTTTCTTTCAGTATTTTTTATCCTATTCTTACAGGGAGTTACAGTTTGAAGATGCAAAACCCAAAGGTCAACCAGCACTTTTGAGCACACACAGCGCCTGACCTTGACTAAAATGTCCTTGGCGTCTTTGGTGAGCCAGCGCGGGTAGATGGGGTTGTCCGTCCGTATGGACTGAAACAGCTCCTCTTCGTCTCGGCCGTGGAACGGAGACTGACCGATCAGCATCTCGTACAGCAGTACTCCGAACGACCACCAGTCCACCGAGCTGTTGTACTTCTGACCCAGCAGGATCTGATACACAATCACACAAGTAACACAAGTTAAACCAATGCAACCTAAGAAAATGTAAAGAGAGCTACTCGGGAAAGGATATTTCTAATCCAAACACCTGTTGCGATATCACCGATTCATTGGTGTGTAGACCGACATGCTCAGTGCAGTGGTGTTGATTTATCCTTTAATCTACAATACTGAACAAATGAGCGCACAGTCACCTCAGGGGCAATGTAGTCCGGCGTCCCGCAGAAGGTGGAGGTCCGCAAGTCTTCCTGCATGTTCTCCTTACACATGCCAAAGTCCGCTATCTTTATATGGCCCTCCGAGTCCAACAGCACATTGTCCAGCTTCAGGTCTCTGCAGAGGAACAGGAGGACGAAGGGAGAAGAAATCAGGAAGCAGTTCTCAGTTTGGTTTTCTGGATTGTGTAGAATTATACCAAACTTGAGACTCCACCTGTAAATGATTCCTTTAGAGTGCAGGAACTGGAGCCCACAGATGATCTCAGCTGCATAGAAGCTGCAGACAGAGGAAAACATGGAGTGTGTTACTGCATCTCCTCCCTCACTACCATTTCTCCACCCATCAAGTAACTCAGAAGAGGAGAGAAAAGTGAAAGAAAGTTGTATTTAAAGACAAATTTGTACTATTTAAAACAGAAATGTAATAGTCCATCGCCTAGTATCACCTTATTTTCTTTCTTTATTTGTAACAGAAGAAAACAACAACAAGATGCAGCGAATGTGAAAACAATCGACAAAGATGTTCACTGAAGTGATGCACCACACCTCGACTCCCTTGACATCAGTGACTGCGTTACGTTTTGCGTTAATATTGGATGTTGTGGCTTTGGGCTGGATACATACGTGGCTCTTTGCAAGTCGAACTTGTGGCAGCTCTGGATGTGGAACATCAGATCCCCTCCGTTCAGATACTCCATCACAAAGAACAGGTTCTCCTGGATGCAGAAAACGCAGATATGTCAGAGGTGTGGAGGGGTTGGAGTGAATGTCTACGGACGAGCTCTGAACATCTAAATCCTCGTTACCTTGGTCTGAAAGGTGCAGTAAAGGTGCGTGAGGAAAGGATTCTCCCAGGCTAAAGACAGGACCCTCCTCTCCACCATAGTGCACTCCACATCATCATCCATCAGCACCACGTCCTTTTTCAGAGCCTTGACTGCAAAAAACTGGCCTGTCTTTTTCAGCTCAGCTAGAAACACCTGGAAACACAGCAAGAACATCTGAAAACCTGCTGACAGTTTGACATCCGCCAACAGAGGTTATGTTTTTTGACTTGCTGTTTGGCGGTTTGTCAGCAAAAAGTAATGAAGTGATTTGCACTGAACTTTGTGGAAGGAAGGTGCGTGAGCCAGTGACGAACCCGTTTCATTTTGGGGCAGTTTCAGATCATTTGCTCTGAATTTGAATTTTTTCCTCTGAAGTTTGACATTTGCACTGGCGGAGCTCTGAGTGCCTTTCTTATTTCTCACTCTCTTCCTGTTGCCCACTCACTTAATGTCCCCCTTATGCTGATAATAACCACTGCTGTCAGAGCAGCAGGTCTGTGGTTTTTCTGTGGAAACACGCTGCACAAACAAGTGTAACCACAATTCTTACAATGTGCTTTATGAAATGTTAATGAGAATGACTAGAATATCATTCTTTGATGGGTGGAAACTAGTGGAAAAGGTGTTTCCCTGAAGTTGTCTATTATTTCTTAGCTATAACATATTCCTATAAACAACACTGCAATAATCTAACAACTAATCATCTCATACATCTGGACATGTTTTATATGTATAGTTTGTTCTTTCCTCTAAAACAAATGATGCAGAAAATCTAACACCGTGAAATGCCGAATATTTAACCTCAATGTTTTTTTTTGTTGCAGCTACTTTTTGCATTATGTTGCTCAGGTCTGATGTCAGTCCTGTTCTGTGCTTTGCTTTTCTTCTGTGAATCAGATCATCTCCAGTACCTTGCCAAAGCTGCCCTTCCCCAGCATCTTGTGCAGGACAAAGTCATCGACGCTGAACTTGGGTTGGTGATCCTTCCGTGGGACGGCGTACAGAGGCTCCTCTTCTCTCAACGCCACGGTGACCGACCTGCTGCCGTCTGTTGGTCCCTCCCATGAAACACCCTGCACATCTGCGACAACAGGCATGTCAGAAAAACACACGCAAAGTAAACCAGAGCGTGTTATTAAAAAAAAAAACTGAGGAAATGAACAGGTGTGACGGGAAGGAAGACTTTAGAGTTTGCGTACCTTTGTTTGCAGGTGTAGCCGTGGCCGGTAGACCCATTATTAACCCGGACGGAGCTCGGACCACTCCAGGCTGGCCAACACCTACTGGACCTTCTCGACCAATGATTTCAGATTCTCTGGTGCTTTTTGCCTGAAGGTTAAAGGTAGGAACAGTGATCCAACATTTACTTTCATAGAATATGTTCAGCCTTTAACAAAGTTTTTTATTTTTCATTTTTAACTTTGAGACACTAAAACTCTAAAATCCACAACCGGTAAAATGAACAATTTAACAGAACACCTTACAACCCTATTAAACTTTTCATGCTTAGATTACGGTAGAACTTGAATCGAATAAGTTTTAAAGGTAAATCAATCACACAAATCAATGTAAAAGAGAGAAAAATGCTTGATTTGGACTCAAAAAGACCCCTGGGTTGTATTAAATTAGTTTCCAAAGAAGCAATTCCACAAAATGCACAAAGATTAAACATTTTTAAAAGGACAGAATATATTTGCATCTTACCTGCTGTTTGCTCTCGATGATGGCCAGAGCTTCAGCCATCAGTTTCTGGTTGACCCCACAGAGGTTGGCTACTTTCTTCTGACATTTATGATGGACGTTCATGCCACACTCTGCACAGAAAACACAGTTCACCATGTAATAACACTAAAGCCGTTTGGACCTGTTACAGAAATGACGCTATTTAATAAACTTTGCTCATGTGAAGAGGGAGGAGTCGAACCAAATTAATGATGCATTATCCTCCAGTTCAGAATAAGTCAAAGGATTAATCCACAGTAATATATTGCATAGTCTACTTTTGCTACAGGCAGATGTATAATACACTTTACTCATCATACCTCCACATATTGTTTCATATTATGTTGCAATAATGTTTTAACGAGGTAAGACAAAGCAAGATAAAGAACATTACTCTCTTAGTTGGCTTAAACAGCTTCTTCATTTTTTCCTCTTGTTGTTGTCTCATGTGTTCTTCACATATTGAGTGTGTACCAGCAACAACACAACTCACACCGCCTCGCACACACTTGCGTGTTGGCTCGAGATTAATTTCACATGGAACGCTATATTTCCCACCTGCTGCTGCAGCAGCTGCGGTTTGTTTCTGTCCGATCATCCAACACATGCAAAGAATTCGGTGAATATTTCTGACCAGAAATGTGGCAGCTGTTGGGGAGCATCATGTTAGGACTTCATTATCAGAGCAGGAAAGTATCTATTTTCCAAATCTGGCGTTTTGGAATTTTTGCAAATAAACCGGGGGGATTGGAAAAATAAATCCATCCTCTGTCTTTTCCTCTGTGGATCTTTTGGAAGAGGGATTCCTCCCCTGTTGCTTTCTGTCTGAACTGAGGCTCTAAGGACTGAAGATGCTGTATTCTGTGCAGAGACTTAAGCCCTTTGATTGATTGATTTTGGTCTATGTGAATAGAATTTCCTTGAATTGACTGGACTGCACAGGCCAGCTGCAGCACACACCGGGCCAATGTAAACTTACTTTATTTATAACTTTTTATCTTTTAAATTTCTTTTTGTTTGTTTTTCTAATTCTTCGTTTTACTCGTATTGTTGTGGTCATGCAGATCTGATCACAATGCAGTTACACCCTGCGTTTTTCCCGATCTGGATACAGATCACATTTTAATACCAGGTGTAAATGGCATCTTGGATTATCTGAAAAGTTTAGAGTAGTAGAAAAAGTTGCTGTTTTGGATTTCCCAGCATAGTGATGTTATATGTAAGATATCTGTTATTACACTAGATATTTCCAGCTGTTTCTTCCCCAATGATTACACACAGAAACCTGCAGCTACGTCAGTCAGATTGTAAACTCTGCTGCGCTGTAATGTACACAACGAAAATCCGACAGCAATAATTATGAGCTTTTCCTTCATGAGGTGCTGACGTCTCTTGCGTTAACACAAAGAGAGCTGTGACCTTTAAGTCCAGTATCTCAACACGACACAGAAATCATAAAACTCCCGCCTCTCACCCTCACATTTGAGCCCCTGCTTGGCGAGCCCCCACAGCAGAGTCCCACAGTGTTCACAGAAGGTGGGGCTTTTGTAGTTATAGACTTTAAACCTGTGCGGCATGTCGATCTTGAAGCGTTCCTTGTGGATCTGCAAAACACAGTGAGCAGACAGAGCGTCATACACCTTGAGGATGGGAGGGCCTAGTCGCTAACAGGCTTGCAAGACCTTAGGACAGAAATGAACAGGAGCACTTCCTGTATCCAGACAGTGGGAGGCAGGTCTGACGTTTCTACCGTGTATTACAACAGCAGGTTTTTTTTGCATGCACACTCTTTGGGATTTATTAACTCAGCAGGCATGTGGCTCAGGAGGAAGTGAAACAAGAGCGAGAAGATGAAAGCGGCAAATGAGACAAGACGGGGAGCGTCTGGTGTAAATGATATCTCTGCATGAGTAGACTGCTTGATTAGTAAGCATTATAACCACAAGTTTTACAAATCTTTTACACATACCGTGTCAGCAACCACCAAGTTCAACTACGGTTGCTCGGAACAGAGAGTGCACTGTCATAGAGACTTACCATCGTTTCTTTGCTGTTTATGGCCGAGCCGGTGCATTTGGCAATGACTTTGTCTATGCATTTTTTGTGGATAGCTGCATTGCACTCTAAAAAAACGCAAACATGAGAGGGTCAGACACATCATCAAGCATCATTAAAACCCCAATATACCAGCGGAAAATAAACCGACACTTACGTCTGCACTGGTAACCCTGCTTGTTAAGCCCCCTGCAGTGGAGAAAAAACAGGTGACATGACTAATGCAACGACAAGGAAAATGACTAATTTGGTGATTTTTTTTGATATCTGTAGTCGGTCGCGTACCAGACAAACTCTTTGCAGACGGAGCAGAAGGTTGGCTGTGGGAAGAATGTGGCGCTGAATTCATGACATTTGACGACGTGCACTTTGGCCTGTTTGATGGCACCGCGTCGCTGATGGAGGGCGAACAGACCGTCTTGCTCCCGTTCGGACTCGGGGTCTCCCTCGGTCTGACCTGCAGCATCTGAAACACATCGTACGACCTTTTATTTAAAAAATGCAAAAGACGGAAGATGTTGTTGAGCTCAGGTTACTGAGTGATTACTTACTGACAAGAAGGTTTCACACTTGGGTTTCTCACCTTTTCTGGGCCGAGAAGTGTTTCTTACCAGCAGTATATCTCAGTTTCATTTTCAATAAAGAGTTAATTTATACCGATTCGTATGGATGAGACAGTCCCACACTTCATAATCCGGATTTATAATCTTTACAGTTTAACACACAAAAACTTTGCTTTTCATTTCATGAAACAGTGAGAGTGTAAACACTGAAATTATTCGGTAAATTGCAAAGTTTCATACTAAAACCACTGCAGCAATGTTTCAAGTGTGAGAAAATAAAGCTATAAACTTTAATGATTGGACAAATTGGTAAAATATATTATTAGTTCATCTTTACACCACTACATTATGACATGCTGCTCTTATTACTCTAGGTGTGTTTTGGTCTGAACGTTGTCAAATCTCTTGACTCTATCTGGAAACCCCGACATTAAAAGAATACTTCACTTATTTTTCCAAGAGGTGAGATGAGAACATCGGTATCAGTCTCGTTTTCTGTGCATCGAGCTCGAAGTAGGACTTTGGACATGCCTAGCGTAGCTTAGCATAAAGACCGTAGGCGGCTGGAAACAGCTAGCTATGCTAATGCCAACCAGGACCTTGTTATCTGTTTCATTTACACGCTGTATGTTGTTTGTTAAACTCTTACACCAACCGCAGCGTCTTACAGCTATATCACAGATAGCCAGATACAGTCCATGAGTGCAGGCACAAGAGTGTCAAACCTGGCAACCTTGCTGTTATGAACAGACTTTGGGATGCTGTGTGCATTATGTTATTAAGTTTTTGTGTATCTTAATGCACTTAAGTGTATCTGTATAACTGTGGTTTTAGTAGTTAAATTGCAACTACAGTGTATGCATTCGTTTAGCAAGAAATTTGCATTAACATTAAAATCAATCTATTCCTGACTTTTTAAATTTTGAATCCTAATATTGTTTTATTTATTGTTTGTTGCCATTTATTTCCCTTTGTATCGTCATCAACGATCTGCAGGGCCGCGACTGTTGGTTGCCAAGAAATAGTTCCAACACACAACTTCCCCTCAAGCTCAGTGCTAAACACAGATGGTTACACTGATGTCAGGCAGAGAAAGACAGAAACTAAGTATTAAAGAAGAAAGGAGTGTGTGTCCGTTGGAGCACAGTTACATAATTTGCCTGATTATGACGAAAAGTTGAACATCATGCGTGTTCCCATGTAGTCGAGGAGGAAGTTGCACGGATCAAACTGTCACGGTTCACCAGTCGCTCTGCCACCTGTTATTCTGAGCGGTGATTTCCTATTAGCAGGCTCTAAATATAGGAAGGTGAGGTGGCCTCTTCCTTTTAGTTCTCGCTGACTTCTCAGGCCTTGGCGTCGTGTTAATGTCAGGATAGCACCCGGTGAAAAGGATCCAACACAAAGCGAACGTGCAGTGCTGAGAACCGGCAGAGGGTCAGAAGTTTTATTTTTCGTTTGGGAAAAAATTGATTTAGGTGCATTAAAACACACAAAGGGTGTGGTACAGGCTTTTGATTTCTCACTTTTATGATCATTAACTATATTTATTCAGTATTTCAACCTGAGAAAATCAAAATATTCACTCAAATATCTCAAAACTGTCAAATTAAAGTGTTTAAAAGAATAAAATGTGGAAAAGTGGGGGCTATAAATGTTTTTTCTTGACAGCGATTCCACATAAAATTCCATAAAATCAGTAGCTGCCAGTTTGAAAAACCTGACTTTTGTCAAAAATGTTGTATGCTGCTCAGGAAATGATGCATTTTCTTGTTTCTGGAAGCAGCAACAATTTACTCAGAATAAGTTTTAAAAAAAAAAGACTTGGTTGTAGACGTGTCATTTCTAGGAAGATGCAAGAAACATTTCCTTTTTTCTAATTCTTTTTTTTAAGACTTTCCAAACCTTGGAAGTTCAGATCATAAAGAAAACTATCTCTTATTTTCACTTTCTGCATTTGCTCGTAGTTTTTGCTCGTAGTTCCAGCTAAGCCCTGCGTCTTACATTATATTGCATTATATTAGCGCTGGAGGGTTTGACCCACTCACCACTTTTCTCCAGGAAATATCTGGCCTCCATCAGCAGGCGACCCTGTGGCTTCAGCTCCAGCTGAAACAGAGAGAACGACAAAAGAAAAACTGAGACAGACGTAATGTCTTAGAAACACAACCTCATGAGAAAAATTTGTAGTGAGAAAAACGCTGAAAATAAAAAAGGGAAGTGTGTTGATTCAGAATGATGATGCATCAACTGATGCCGGAGAAACAGAGCATGTCATGCTGTTTGGCCTCACTGAGACAGACAGACTGTCCCAGACTAGGGAGGAAACTCAGCACCAGATTGTGTTTGACTTTATTCATCCATTTATTTTTGCTTCTTTGTTAGTTTTGGTAGAAAAGACATTTGGCGTCTGTTGTCACTAAGTTCTTTCCAGGGGAAAAAAAAAAATCTCTGGTAAACAACAAGTGCTGTGTTTTTCATTTCTGGTTAATTAAAAGTAAAAAGAGAAACTGGGGACAGTCTGGTGCATTCTGGGATAAAAAAAAATAGAGGGATAAGATACATGGACAGTTTTCATCTTAATTTACAAGCGCTATTTGTAAGTTTTGCTAGTGCTACCTAGCTAATGTTAGCATCAACAGCTGTTTAGTTACGAATCTTGGAAAGTGCTCCAGCCAATGTTGCATTTACAAGACGAGGTCATAATACGACCTCTGAGCAGCGCTACCTTTTCAGAGCAGACTGGACGCTACAGTGACTCGGTATCGGAAAGTGACGACAGTCCGACTGGGGCTCCAAACAGCTCCATAAGTATGATTCGTTTTTAGATCAACAATCATGACATAAATCGTGAATTCCTTTTAATCGCTCATTAATTATGTTCTTACCATGTAATAATTATCTTTTGTCATCTCATAACAAGCGCCATCTTATGATCCCATAATTGTTATGGTGTAAACGAGGGTGTGGTGTAAACCGGGGGCTGATGATCCCGAGATCACAAGTACACACACAGTACAGGTCATATATAAGTTATAAATAATAATAACAGTAATTATTTAAATATAAATAAATTCCTACCCTGGCACTCTGTGCAAATTTAATCAATAAAAAAATCTAAAACAAAACTGCCAGTACAGGTTTTCTTCTCACAGTAGATTTTTTAAGTCTCAGAGTGGAAACACGGGTGTAGCTAGAAATTGAACTGGCTACCTGCCAGTAAGGTGTTGCAGTTTGAGGATGCAGACTTACTGACTCATATATCTTACTAAGACACATGTCAGGCATCATCAGTGTTATTAATTACACCTGTCCTTTTTCCTGCTGGGACATTTCAAAGGGCTTTAGAAAAGCAGTTTTGTGGGTGGTGCAGCGCAGGCGATGATGCTTGTACCAGCTACAATTACCACCTCATTGTCGTCCCCCTCCACCAACCAGTCAAGCTGCAGTTAACATCAGTGCCTGTCCAGACTCATTATTTACTGAAGACTTAGAAGGGTCACAGTGACCTTTGACCTTTGACCACCAATTCTGAATCAGTTCATCCTTGAGGTTAAGTAATGGGATTACTGATTTATCGTCCTCACGAGAACGAACCTGAGAACATAATGTCTCGGCCTCAGCTGTTAATGGACACAGTAGTTTTTTTTTTTATGTCTTTAAGGCGGATTTACCTCTTTTTAAACATTTGGTCTTTTGACCCAAAAATGTGTCTGCCCATCTGGACTCAGCCAGAATAGTCAAACAGCCCGGTCTGTGGACGCCGCACTAACCCAGATCTCCAGCTTGCCGTTCTCCTTCTTGCAGCGTGCCGCCAGCGAGTCCAGAGCCACCGTGGCCTCAGACTTCAGCTCCGCCGTCCGGTCCTTCACCATCACGTGCATGATGCGACCGCGATGGATGTGGGCGTCAAACGTGGTGCTCCACGGCGGGTACATGGTGGGCTTCTTCTGCTTGTACACTTGGCCCTTCTCTGTACAGCAACAACAAAAGACATCGCTTTATTTACAGGACTGTTCTTCACTTTGGTTTGTCTCAGCAACAGACAGGAGAATAAGATGAAACTAAAGCTGCACAGAAATTTTCACTTTGACTTTCACTTTAATACCTAGAAATCCTGTGTGTCAGCAAATGTAATTTCTCACTGTTCCTGGCAGGAAACAAACGGTGGACTGGTAGCTCTTATTCCTCTGTGCCAGAGAGCTCCATTGTTGTCCAAACCATATTAAAAACATAAACGCGAAGTAATCTGCCAGTGAAAATAGTCCCCGACAAATGGCACTATTTCCTCTTGTTTCAGCAGTTGTTATAAACTAGTGTGTTTTGGGAAATGAATGAGCCTTTTGATGAGATCATTATTATTATTTGTGACCTGTTTTAAAGATTCATCAGTATGAGCAAATGGGACAGGAAAAGTATTGAGATAATAATATGCTGTTAGCTTTGGTCTTGTTATGGCATTTGTTGACAATAACTGAAGTATAGAATATCGCAATCCATATCCTTCAAGCATTTAACTCACAGATTTGGATAAATAACATCCGGATGATTTCCTGCCAGTGTCGGAAACCGAAACCAGGAATTAATCCGGGTAAATGGGATGAATGTGCAGGATATCGCTCTCAGTGGAATAGATGCTCTTTAACAGCCTCATACTGTGATTTAAAGATAAATCCTTGACTTGCTTTTAGTTCAAATGTGTCATACATTTAGATTGCATTGCATGAAGTTGAACATATGCGCAGACCTTTAAGATTATCATCTTATAGAGTTGAGATTTTCAGTCTCTATCACACGGCCAGGGAAATAAAAAAAAGACCATCCTGGCCTTCGTAATTGACATCTGCTGATTTGTTTTTTTCCTCTGCAATAACATCCCATATATCCACTTACATAACCACCACATGCCATCCTGCTGCCTCAACAATAAAGCCCGCTAAGCTTTTTACTCTCAAAGTGATCTGCGGCCTTCTCCATCAACAGCTCATCGCTGGTCTGTCCACCGTCCCTGCCAGCTGCCATCTGTGCTGGTTACAGCAACCAGAGAGGAAAATATGTCTCCACAGACACACAAGCTACATCTGACTTTGTGTGTGCGTGTGTGTTTTTTTTTTTTTGTTAAAGAAAGTTTCCTTGCAAAGTTATGCAAAGTGAGAAGTGACATGGTTTGGTGTCAGCCAGCACTCAGTCAGTTCCTGTGTTATTCTTTGAAAAAGGACTATGGTGGCGTGTAGACGTGAGTGTGCTCTCGTGTCTCTGCGGCGTCAAGTGAGTTTACATTTATGGAGACATTAAATAAGGTTTTGTTTGAGAGTTTAAATTCAAAGTCATTGTAATATGCTTTCATCTAAAAACTGTCTGGTATGTTTTAAACCTGAGCTCCACGGCCTTGACTCAGCTGCTCTGCCACATTTAAATAGTTCACTGAAGGTGGAAGTTGACAAAGAATGGCCCACTGTTTGACCACGGAGACGAGCTGTTGGAAGAGGATTTTCCACTAGCCCAGGGGGATATAGCTCATATTACCACAACAACAGAAAAAAAAAGGAAATGGTGCTAAAAAGAAGTTTGAGCAATTACAGAGCAGAGGCAAAGGGCTTGTGTAAAATGTTGTTACTGTTACTGTAACTGTAACTACTGCTTAATCACTGTTGTCTTTCGTCTCTTTTGTCAGTGGCTGACATGTTCCTTCATCACAAACTACTTTATTTTAACTGCATCCCACACACACCGTCCTGATGCCAGAAATACTCAGTGGAGCACCAAATGTGTATTAATCCACCGCTAAAAATAGTCCCCAACAAGTTAACACTCTTTCCTCTTGATTGAGTAACGTTTGCTACGAGCTACAGCTGATTAATTCTGTGATTAGCTTTTCTTTCCTAATCGTCTTAACTTTGATTTGGAAAAAAAAAAAAAAATGCTAATCACAGTTTCCCAATGTATAACAGCTTCAAATAGCTTGTTTTGTTCCCTGTTTATAAAATTAAAAACAACCAAAAAAAGATATAGTTTCAAAGATGTACCTTTGTGTATTGATGTGTATTAATCCACCACTGAAAATGAATACTCTTCCCTCTTGTTTGAGTAACATTTGCTACAAATTAAAGCTGTTTAAGAAGTGAAAGCTGTGATTAGCCAATAATGCTAATCTTAGCTGTTTCTTAGCACGGTTTCCCAAGGTATAACTACTTCAAATAGCTTGTTTTGTTTTCTGTTTATAAGATTGAAACTATATATTTGTGAGCTGTTTTTAAAGATGTACTTTTGGTAGGAGCCAGTGAGCTAATCCGCCGCTGAAAATAGCCCCCGACAAATTAACACTCTTTCCTCTTGTTTGAGCAACGGTTTCTACAAGCTACAGCTGTTTTAGCAATTAATGCCGGTATTAGCAAAAAATGCTAATCTTAGCTGTGTCTTAGCACAGTTTCCCAAGGTATAAAGACTTCAAATAGCTTGATTTGTTTCCTGTTTATAAGATTGAAACTATATATTTGTGAGCTGTGGTTTTAAACTTGTACATCGTTTGGAAGGAGCCAGTGGGTTTGTGGAAGAGAAGACAAAGTATTGATCTGTTGGTTTTGTTCCTAACGTGATTTATGGACAGTAACAAAGATATGAAATACACCAGCCAATAACCACTGTGTTCACTTGATACCTCAATGCATAATATTATTTCAATGATAATATTTACTATTTTAGGCCCTAGTAAACCTCATTCTACTGCAATAGACAGGAGCGGTTGAGACGTTGACTTTTGGCTTTAACTGAACTTTGATTCTTTCACTATTTCTGAAAACAAAAACAGAGTCTTTTTAAACAGAGTCTTTTTAAACGATTCAGTTCTGCGTACGACTCGTGCTTGGCAGAGTGAAAAAAAGAGCCTGAGCACTTCAGAGGAAAGCTGTTTATCGCCGCTTTCCATCACTTTTATTTGAAGATGAAATCAGCTGCAGCGAGCCAAAATGCCTGATGGGAGATGTCTTGATGCTTTTTATTTTAATTTGTTTTTTTTGTTTTTTTTTAATCCATCCTGGAAGTTTCTCATCATCAGCTACTAATTTCACAAACTCAGCATGGTGCCAGTGAGCAATGTGTCCGTCAGAAACACTGAAACACTCAGCTCCTGTGATGCACAGTAATGTCCTGCTGGTAAAAACCCACTGCTGCTTATTGTTTCTTTTTAATGCTCTTCATATTTTAAGATGTTGACAGTCTTCGTGACGTTTATCTGAGGTAAAATAAAATGAAACTAAACGACATCGTCCCTCCAGTGTAAATGAAATACACACATTCACAGAGTCTTCCTCTGCTGCCTCGCAGGACCGGCCTTGTGGTTTCGTTTTGGGTTTTTTTTTTACACAGAAGGAGGAAAAGAAACATCAGAACGCTCCTCTTTCCTCTCAGTGACACATTCATTGTTTTTTCTGGCTCTATCCTGAACCAGTGGTTAAAGATAGCCAGATGCAGAGCAGAGATATCTGCTGTGAGTCCGCTATCGCGCTGGGAAGTTGTGACATTGGAAGAGAATCAACAACCACAATGAAGACCTTTTTTTTTTTTCTTTTTGTTTTAAAAACATGGAGGATATGGAGGCGTAGTATTTGGACCCAATCGCATTTACAGTGCTGCCTTTTATCTGCTGTTGAATTCTTTTGCACACATCAGTCCAGATGTGTGGAGCCGGCCATCCTACACCTCAGACTCCCTCACAGTATTACACACAGTAGATATTTACTGTCTTTGTCGTCTTACAAGCTGTTTAAGTTCTTTCTTTTTTGTTCTTTTTTTTTTAGGTGAAACTCACAATAACCGACTCTCTAAGAGAATATCTAAAGCTGATCTGTGTGACTCATGTTTGATTTAGTTTTGTGACAGTTTCACACACTAACCTAAGGTCAAACAGAGGCTAAAAATAAACATACTACTTCACCATTTCTATATTTATTCATGACACCCACTGTTGCTGCTTTGCTGATCCTAAACGCATCACTTCCTGGGTGGCAGAGCAACTTTTTTTCCTTTTTTCTGAGAAAGATCCAGTGAACATACCGCGCGGCGCTGACAGGAGCAAACGCAAAAGCTTTAACTGGAATTAATGTAGAGTGAATATTTTGTGTTGTCAATCTGTTCAAATGTAATAAATGTGTTAAAATGAATTGTAAAGAAATTATAATTTATAGAAATTAAACTCTATTCTTTGAAAGTGTTGAAAAGACACTGAAACACAGTTAAAGTTGAAGCTGCATCTGTTATTTTCCTGAATAACTGATAATTGTTTTGACTAGAAAATGTCAGAAAATAGCAAAAAAAAAAAAATGCTAATCACAGTTTCACAGTTGCCAAGGTAACAACTTCAAATAGCTTGTTTTGACCGACCATCAGTCCGAAACACAAAAATACTAATTTAACTACCATGTGAGATGAAGAAAAAAATGATCAAATTAGGAAATGTGTCAAAAAATTGATTATTTAAGTAGCTGCCAATTAATTTTTTGTTGAAACTGATTAACTGACAGATTGTGTCAGCTCCGGTTTTTAAACCAATGACGCATCCAAACCCCGGATGACACCGTCACCACAACTGATTATATTTACACACATACTTGTGCCAAGACGCCTCATTGGATCGTTTCATTATAGGTGAATGTTTTGCTACAGGCAGCCGGTGTGCTGCTGTCTGCATCAGTGCCACAGTCGACACGTATCTAATCAATAATCAGCACATTAGAGTAAGACGACGCTGACGAGGCCACAACTGGATGTCAATAAAAGGCCAACGAGGGCAGAGATGTTGGTCTAACCCTGGTGACATCACCTGCACTGGTGAAAAAGTTACTCTGCAAACAGATTAGTCAGCCAACAATTCTGATCATCCATTAGTTGTTTCAGATAAAAGTGAGAATTCACAGCATTTCTCTGTTTTTATATCAATATACAAACTGAATGTCTTTGGGTTTTGGGACATTTAAAGATGACGCCCTGGGCTCTGGGACTATTTCATAAACTTAATGATTAACTGATAATATAAAATAATCATTCGGTGCAATCTAATCACTATAACCAGCGATATAACCTCAGTGTTGTTGATAAACCCGGCCACGTCACTAACCTGTGTCGATGGCCTCCTTCATGTGGACGGCACAGTATGGGTCCAGCACCTCTTCATGGTAGGCCAGACTGGGATCCATCTCGAATTTGGAGAAGCCGATCCGCAGGAAAGGCGACATGGCTGCGGACTCTCTGACCCCAACTCAGATATCCACAAAAAAAACAAAAAAACCCCCCAAAAAAACCCTCCAGGAAACTGTGATGTTGACGCCGTCTTTACGAAGCAGCTTGAGATTTTTCTTTTCTCAGATTTATTTCGGAAGCAGCTTCTGGGTCGCCGTCAGCCACCTTTCCTCCACTGCAGCACTTGCCGACTGCCTCTTTTCCTCCAGAGGAAAGATGGGGCTGGCAGGCAGGCAGGCAGGCAGGGGGGGTTGGGGGGGTGGGGGGGGGAGGACCCAGAGGAGGAGGCTTGCTGTTTTCCGCCCTTGACGCTTTTTACACAACCTGTGAGAGGAAGAGAGAAAGAGAGAGATTTTCAGCAGCCACGACGTGGTAACCACATGAGCTGAGTTTCCCCACCAAACTTAAAACTTTCGTCTGCTCCAGCTGGCTCTCAGAGACGAGCGTTAAACTAAATCGGCAAGAAAACTTCTCCCGGTTTGGACAAAGTGTTCACTGTGTGTGTGTGGGTGGAAGATGTTTGTTGTTGTTCCCAACTTAAAGCGAGATAACAAAGCTGCCTCCTCAACCTCAATGCAACTAAAAAAAACCACCCGTACCCTTCAGGACTTGTAAACACCAGCTGTCACACTTGGCTGAGCCTCGTAACAGCAGCTTGTAAAAATAAAATCAGCTAAAAAATATTCTTCTTTCGTGGGATCAACTGTGAGAAGAACTACAGTAGCACACTGCAGCAGGTTTGATGGCAAGAGACTCGGGGACGGTCGATGTGATATTTGAGGCCTGCTGGAGAGCCGGCTGTGTGTGTGTGTGTGTGTGTGTGTGTGTGTCCCAGTGGTGGCGACCAGGCTCAGGGGTGACTATTAATAGAGTTGAAATACTAAACGAAGATCAAGAATATGCGAGTCTGCAATACTTGTCATCGTCAAAAACGGATGCTGGCACCGAGTCACCTTCTTTAACTGGAACTCCCACTGACCCTGAGTCAGTGGTGTCATGTGATTAGACAGACACAGAAACTTATAAGGAAGCAGATGAAATGTTTATATGAAGCCAATATACTGTGGCATCATTCAACATCCTAATATGGAGTATTTAAATGTTTATGTCTACAGTTTGTCAGTTTTGGTTTTAGGTAGTTTAAAGCTGCTCCGATCAATATTTTTGATGTGGTCGTGTAGTGATGAGGATGAATCCCCTCAGTGTCTCGTTTTGGTTTGACAGGCCACTACTTTTCAGTTTTGATTCACTCTCACTGCAGCAGCTGTTTGTCTTTAAGGTGCTGCAAATACTAATCATCTAATGTTTACACCAGTGGTTCCCAACCTGTGTGTGTGTGTGTGTGTGTTTTTATTTTGCTAAATAGTATAATTCTGCTGGTGAAGAAATGTAATTATATAAAAAAATAAAATAAAATTATGAATAATGTTTTTAAATGTTTTAAATTGAAATGATCTTTAAAAACATTACAAAACAAATGTAAAAACTCGATCTATCACTATGGAGACTGGAGTGTCCCCTGTTTTCTGTTCAGTCCTGAATATAATATAATAAATACAAATAAAAAGTGTTTCTGAGAATATATATTATTTTTATATAATATATTATATATTATGTTATTACAGGGTCGAATGTGAGATTTTCAAGTGGGCTATGAGTTGGGAAAAGGTTGCAAACCACTGGTTTAGACTATGTGCAGATATCAACAGCAAACTTTTTGGCAGGTAGAATAAAAGCATCACACCTGATTAATCATTTGATTTGTACAATTTTAGAAAACAAGCTCGTCGTGATTTCCCAAAGCCCAAATCGGCATCTTTAAAATCGCCCTTTTCGTCCAACCGATTGTCCAAAAACACAAAGTATTCAGTTCAGTGTCACAGAAGACAAAGAAAACCTGCAGATATTACTTTAACCAGTTAATTATTGGAATTTTTGTTTCAAAAAATGACTTGAATGACTAATTGATGATTAATAAAAGTTTGCAAAATGATTGTTCCAGCTGTGGTTCAAAGAAATATTGCAACGTGTGCACCCTCGGATGGAGACAGGACGGTGGCGAAATTAGAAAGCGATTTTTGATCGTCCTGTTCCTAACTTTTTCTTACGTTTTACTTTTGTTTGTTGTCTGACCTGGTAACATTTTATTTGTCACTTTTTCCACTTGTGACTATCTGCTCTACTTTCAGAAGTCAGGCAGGTTGTTGTTGTTTCTGAGGTAATGCCCTACATACTGATAACAGTGGGACAAAGCTGCAGCCCCATTTAAATAAACCTTAAAATGATGTGAAGACGATCACACATCAACTCATGACTCGGCTTATTTAAACTGCAAACTAACGTAACCTGCTTCATTTAAATGCTGCTCTTAATTTGGAGCCAAATTTTCATATTGTGCTGAGTTTTCTGATAAAAATCATCATCAGTCTTCACAAGCATAAACTTGTCCACCTAAAGACTGACTGATATTGATCTTGAAATACTCACGCCCACACACACACACACACACACACACACACCTCCGACCTACACAGATTCAAACATTTGAAGTGTGCAGAGCTGCAGCCTCCTGCACACTTCAAACTTCTCATATAACGCTGCACTTATGCAGGAGTAAAACTTCCGGTGCCTAAAGTTACGACGATGTAACCACACTTCCTGTTTAATTTTTCGTCTTCAAGATTCACAGGTGGGGCAAACAAGAGACTGAAAAACACCACAGATTATAAAACACAGCTGCAATAAATTTTGAAAAGGTGGGCAGGGAACAATTATTTCTGACACTTTAAAATAATAATAGAAGTTGAAGAGGTTGTCTATTTATTGGAAAGCAACATTTTATGTGTTTGTCCCTCAGCCATACTTAAATACAAACCTATTTTACTGCTGTGTTTACAGTGTAAACACACTTTTATCAGCATCATAAAACATTAATAACTTGGATTATATAGAAACATGCTGACTGTGCTTTAACATTGTATATAAAGCCTTAACTTGCGTTTACCTACATAAGAGAAAACTATGATGTGAGACACTGAAGTTAACTTTGACCTCCAATCACATCTTGTTTATAGTGATTCTGATTCAGTTTTTGTTTTCTGTGTAGAATTAATTTACTTAGGATTAAACTGAGCAGTAGGGTTTATCCAATTGCAAAATAACATCGCCTTGAAACATTTAAGTATATATTTATTCAATTTCAGATTGGATTTTTACTTGAACACCACATGGACTAGACCAGGTTTTATTTTACTGGCCATGAAACCTATTTCAGACTCGCACACTTTTCTGTTCACACGTGTTGGTGAAGGCCGTTCATTTGAAGATCTGTCACGGACCTTGTATCGATCAATAAAGCGATGTATCTAAAGCCTTTATACGGTGTTTTGCATGGATAGTTTTTGTTTAATGGATTATCTCCACAGAGCAGTACTATAAATATGATGTTATCTGTCTTCACTCTTCAAGCTGTGAGGAAGGCATGCTGTTGCCACGGTTACCGCTGTTTTCTTTGTGAGTTAATATACTTCTTTCTTTTTTTTTTTTGTTTCCTGTCTATAGTCTGGTTACCTTGGTTAGCTTTGAGGCCATTAATGTTGATAACTGTGCTTGACGTTCAGGAAGTGAAATAGTCGACTACACCAAACACTGTGCAGCTTTTGAGCTGATGTGATGTAAAGTATGACGAGTGGTGGTGACGTCCTAATGGGGTTAATCCATCTATGCCCTCTTTCTTCCCCATAAAGTAACCATACAGTAGATGTAAGTGGATTTAGACCGGACCGACACAGGGGTCATTGTTGAAACCAGCTGCTGATCTTTACACTGTAGAATCTTTGTTTACGGCTTATTTTGGTTCAGAAAAAGTAAACAGAGGCTTTTCATTTCAGTATTTACCACTGGGACCAGTGAACACATCGCTGTGGTCTGCTCTTGTGACTGATGTTTTATCTTTATCAGCTCAGCCAATCGTGTGTCCCGCACCTCTCAAGGCGTCAGGGGGCTGTCTGACTTTACTGCGGCCACCCATCGATACAGAAAATGCCACCCGCCCCCGCGCCCCGTCCTCGGACACACACAGGGGGCACAGGGAAGGTCAGGTGCTAGGGTGCCAACGCCAGAGACCTTTCAGAAACCTTTCATGACAGAGGGCAAGGTCAAACGAACCTCCCACCTGACGCTCTGCACCCAACACCATCAAAGTAGTGTGTGTGTGTGTGTGTTGTGTGTGGGTGTGTTTGAAGTAGGAAGAGGAAGGAGGAGGAAGACGGGGGTTTGGAGGGTGGGGGGGTTGGTCTTTGTTGTTATTGACAAGGATGTCCATGTCTGTGACAGACGCCTTTGACTGTAGCTGCTGCTTTGACAAGAGCCCAGACTCTCAGAGTGTCCCTGAAGTGGTCACTCATTCAAAGACAGAAATCAGTGTGACAACTTCACATCAATGAATCATCTACTACTACAAACTATTAGTGATTGCTGCATCTGAAGGAGGTTAATTAATGAGAACTGAAATTCTGCCCCTGTAGAACTGAAAGTCTTTTTCCCTCAAAATATGCAAATGTGTTTCCTATTGTTTCCTGTTAAGTGAATGTTTAATTTAGTGCGACAAGTGTTTTACTTTGACACGGTGCCAAAGTAATATTGCACATTTTTCTCCACAATATCATCTTACACCTACAGTTACTAATTACTTTTTAGATGCAGGATTTCACACACAAAAGATCAGTTTATAATAACTTATTATAGATTAAACCAAAAATGCATATAAAGTTGTGATCAGCTATAACATTAAATTTCTACTTATAGTACATGTTTACTGGCAAGTACTGTACTACTGTACTACATTGATTTTATACTTTATTTAATACTTTTATTATTGTTTGTCTATTAATATTGTACTTTTTACTCCACTACATTTATATTACATCTATAACTACAAGTTAATTTTTTTACACATAAAACATCTGACTAATTTAATATAAATTAAACAACCAAAATGTACATAAAGTAGTTAAGTAGTTACTTTTCTCTTTCAAATGCTGCTAACGTACTATGTTGCATTATTTTATATCATACTCCAGTAGTATATATTTGTAAAATCTGGTGAATTCTACAGGTTTTTCCAATTTATGACCCCTTACACTTCTGCTTCACTGTATTTTAGAAGGAAACAGTTACTGTTTACTTTGCAGATTACACACAGAACATATGAT